TGCAGTAGGGTCCCTGCCAAGTTTCGCAGGAGATGTTTGTTGTTGCTGTGTGCGATCCAAATTGCAATCATTTTCAGGTGAAGTTCAGTATTGGAATGGACGTCTTTTGGCCAATACCATTGTTTGTGTCTATCTGTGTATGTGTGTCTTTGACTTTGTGTCTGTGCGTGTGTCTGTGTGGGGATCAGTCCTGGGCCTCCCCTAGGTCGACTCAGCCTCACATGACTGCCTGGTGTGATGTGTAAACATCGCCACTGGGGAGACAACGGCAACCGGGCGTGGTGTTGGCCACCCACCCCCTCGTGTGCCTTGCCTGCCTTCATAGGTGCTCGCTAACAGCATGTTGCCCCACCAGTCTGTTGAGGCTATACAAGGGATTTTTGTTTTTTATTTGTGTCTGTGTGTGTTTTTTTTAGCTATGGGAGGTCCCGTAGGAAACCCACACAGAACAGATTGGAGAACATACAAAACTCCAGACAGAAAGACGCCCGAGTCGGGGATTGAACCCAGGCTCTTGCTGGCTGTGAGGCACGACTGTTACCACTGCACCAACCCATGCCGTCATGTGGTTATATATATTTCATTATAATAACAATAATGATAACGGCCTTTATTGAAGCTTTCCAACTGAGGATGAAGGTACGAATGCGCTCGCGCTGCCAGCAGTAACGAGTGCGCGTGAGAACTCTCACGTAGACAAGTCGATCCAATGTGAATTAATCCTTACAATGACGTCGTGTTGCTGCCCTTAGCGACTTCCCGGACCTGATGGTATTGGTTGTGAAGGAATGGGGGTGGGAGGGGATTGCCCACTAATGTTAACTACCTCGCCTGGTATACAGGAGGTCGTGGGTTCGATCCCGACCCAGACTCCTGTCCAATATTTGGAGTTTGTGTGTCTCTCTCCCCGTGGTCGCGTGGGTTTTTCTCAGGGTCCTCTGGGTTTTTCTCTCCACGTTTAGAGACACGCATTTAGAGTATTTGGCTGCTATACATTTTCACGTGATAAGCCACTTCGTTTAGCTATCATTTGTTGCCAGACCGCTTCTGAAAACGAGCTACATAGCTCAGTGGAACTTTTTATGGTAAAATAAAAAATGACTTTACGTTACATCAACATTTAATAGCCACGAGTGTGTGACTAAGATTTTGACCAGGTGGTGCATCTGACAGTCATCTGAGTCAGTCAATCCATGGTACCTGCTGGGTCTGTCCCGTGACCTCCTGCCAAGCGTGGCCTCAATGCACCTAGCCTGGCACAAGCGCCGTGGTGATGCCACCGTCGCTTAGTGGCGAACGGCGGCTGTTGTGACTCAGTGATTCAGTGGCTTGTTGTTGTTGTGACTCAAGTGAGTCATTAGCGAGTTTTCGCAGGAGGGAGGCGATGGTTGTGCTTTGTGTATTCCAATTGAGTTATTTTCTCAAATTATCGTTGAAAGTGTCCTGTAATCTGCACTAGAAGTTGGTATCAGAGCTGAGCTGTGCTGAGTCTGTGTGGCCGAGGTGATGGCTCTATCTCGCCCCCACTTTGCCATTGTTATGCAGTCTCAAATAAAAGCTGTTAATGAAACGCGATAACTTCCTTTTTGTAGAGTCAGCGCCGGAAAAAGGCTGACTCCTCGCCACGAGGAGCCACGACCCTTTCTCAATAAAATAAATCCCCCAACATGAATCCCACGTGTGGTGTGTGTGGTGCGCGTTAATCTGCGTGTGTTAGCCGGGCTGCTGAAATGTAGCAAGTTGGCACAGCAGGGGACACAGGTGGTGCATCTGTCAGTCGTCTCAGTCAGTTAACACATGGCACCTGGGTCTATCCAGTGACCTCCTGTCAGCGAGCCGTCGACACTTCACGTGGCATCGGGAGTGCACCTAGCCTGGCACAAGCGCCGTTGTAACGTCACTTGCCACTTAGTCGTGAATGGCGGTTGTTGTGTTAATCTGAATGGTTAGTGAACTGCACTACAGACGTGCAACCTGAGTTCCGTTCCGGGCCACGGCGAGCATCAGTGACGGGGAGTCAAATCTACACTGGTCCTGGGGGGCGGGGGGGGGGCACTGCCATTGGGTGACCAAGGTTTACATGAGGGCAGTGTGTGTACTGGGGAGACAAAGGTGGTCGGGGATGGTACTGGCCACACACTCCACCCTCGTGCTCGCTAACGGCTCTTTATCCAACTGCCTCTGTAGGCTACACGGGGAGGAAGGGGATCTTTGTTACTATGAATGTGGACAAGTCGGGGTACTGAATAATGAACCCCCTGGCCGCCTCCCCTAACACGTGCTTCCATTCCCACGTTCGACTGCCGCTCCGTCTCCAGTCTCGACCCCCGGCGCCTCCATCATCCCTCAAGCCCAGAGCCCACTCACTCTCACTTAACATTCCATAGGATGTCTTTAGCTTGCATATGTTTAAAAGGACAACGGATGATAATAAGAGCAATGATGATGCTGCGATTGTAAGAAAGGCAACGCCGCAGTTGCACGGCAGAGACGGCTCGTCTCAGTGGGTGTCGGTGGCTGCTCCCGTCCAACGGAACGCTCCTCCTGCTCGCTCGCCTCCCCACTCCTCCCGCCTCCCCACTCCTCCCGCCATGCCCTCTCCACAATCCCAGCCCCGTTCCACCCCCCCCCCACCTCTTCGTGATGATGACGATGACGATGATGACGATGTTGGTGCTGTAGCAACGAGGGTAGAAATGTCGATCCCCAGCGACTCTGGCCCCGCGATGGGCTTGTGGTGGCGCCAGTGAGCCCCCCCCCCCGTTCCCCCAACCTCCCCCCACCCCCTTAACCGAGTGGGGGTCTCGCCACGTGCGTGTGGCTGCAGGACGGGTGAAGGCGCAGCCCTGAGATTTGCTCTCTCGCGGAAGGGGGGCGCCCCCCCCGCGGGGCTTTGTTCTCACACCCTCCCATGCTGGCTAGTTCGTCTTGGGAGAAGAGGTCGGGGGGTGGGGGAGTACCCACACTTTACCCCACACTTTACCCCACCAGACACGTCCTGCCGGTCGACACTAACTGTGGTGTGACCGTTCTTACTGCTGTTGCGTGGACAGAGGCGGTGGGGGGCTAGCGGTGGGGGGTTAGCGTTGGGGGCCTGGCGGTGGGGGGCTTGCCGTGGGGGGCTGGCGGTGGGGGGCTGGCCGCGGGGGGGGGGTCACTCGTCCATTGTATCAACTGCCTCACCAGGAGATGGAATCGTTGCGATTTCGGTGTGGATTACAACGCCGTTGTTACTGGTCGTAACGCCAGGGCGGCCCTCCATGGCTTGAAGAGTTGCAACTTATAAATAAGGCTGCGTTCTTGAAATGGCTCGGGTTGTTGTGCGGCGGATGGCGTTTGTATGGTGCTGGGTAATAGTGGCTTGGGCCCATGCTGTGGGGCGCCACGGTGGTGAGATGTTAACTACCTCGCCTGGTATGCAGGAGGTCGGGGGATCAATCCCGACCCTGACACCTGCTGCTGTATATTTGGAGTTTGCGTGTTCTCCACGTGGTCACGTGGATTATCCTCCGGGTCCTCCGGTTTTTTCTCCTCGACATTTCGAATCAACGTCACCCGTTTGAGAATATTTGGCTGCTATACATTTCCACATGATAAGTCCACTTCGTTGAGCTATCATTCGCGGCCAGGTATATTTTGAAAAAGAGCTACGTAGCTCAGTGGGGCCTTACCTGGTAAAATAAAAAAGTAGTTTATAGTTTTATAGGATCGTGCACATTCATGCTGATGGGTGTCTTGAGTCCTTGATGCCTCTACTCCCAGGTTTGTTGGGTCCCAGGCCTCTTTATTCCGAAGTCCCTTAGCAGCTAGTCTCCTGCGTCTGAAGCGTCAAGCGTCTTGAGCCCCAATTGCCTTCAGTCCCGTGTCCCTCGACACCCGGGTATCTCGCGTCCTAAGTGTATTGCGTCACAGATATATCTTAACTCCCGGCCCATTGAGCGCTGCATCTTCTCGTCGTTCCTGAGCCACTTCACATCGGTTCACGCCGAGTCCCAGGGGCCGGGACCTCCTCGTCTTCAGGAGTCACTCAGCCGGCGGCACGAGGCTTCACGAAATCCGCGGCGTCACCGCTCTCTGGCGGCGTGCGCGGCGCGTTCCCGCGGCTTCGCAAGTTTTGGCAGCTGGGGCGTCTCTCCTGGGAAACGCGCCGTGGCGAGCAGCTCCTGAGCGAGTGTGCGTGCGCACGCGTGCGCCTGCGGGGGCGGAGGGGGGCCCGGGGGGAGAGTGCGGTGCCTGCGTTCTTCTCGTCGCCCGCGCTGGGCGGCGGAGACATTCCTGCAGCGCATGCCGCCCCGGCGGCTCGCGACGCCAGCTGTTGCGTTGGAGAGATACGCGATGTCCCGTGCGGCTGTAAAAACGGGGAAATATTCTCGTGTGCCCGCTGCCCCTGCCGAAGGGAAGAATGTAACGGAACTCGCACAGCCCCTGGTGGTATTCACGTGGCGAGTCGGTGAGGATGTGTGTGTCGAGACTCGGTCGACTCGGCCTCAAACGAGTGCCCGGTGCGGTGTGTAGTAAACATCGGCACTCACGAGACAAAGGCTGGCCAAGCGGGGTGCTGGCAATCCACCCTCTTGTGTCCATTCCGGCCTTCACAGGTGCTTACTAACAGCACTTGCTCCCACAGTCTGTTCAGCCTATATGGGGGAATCTTCGTCTTTGTCCTGTATATGGGGATGGGTGGTGCAGTGGTTAACACTGCTGCGCTATGAACCCGGCCACCCGAGTTCGATTCCCGCTCACGACCAACACCAGTGAGGATTATCTGAACTTGGTCCAGGGCCTCCTCAAGGTCAACTCAGCCTTAAATGAATAACCTGGTGCGACGCGTAAACATTGGCACTGGGGAGACAAAGGCGGCCCGACCTGGTGCTGGCCACCCACTCCCTCGCGTGCCGTGCCGGCCTTCGTAGGTGCTACTCGCGAAACGGCATGGGCCCCCCACAGTCTGTTGAGGCTATAGGGGTGACCTTTGTCTTTGTGCGTGTTTGTGTTTGCAGAAGAACGGGCAGCCTGGGTCCGAGGGGGAGGACTACCAGGAGCGGCTGTCCCGTCTGGAGGAGGACCGGGAGTCACTCGTGCTGCAGGTGAGAAGCAGCAGCAGCAATAGCAGCAGCAGTAGCAGCAGTAGCAGCAGTAGCAGCAACAGCAGTAGCAGCAGCAGTAGCAATAGCAGCAGCAATAGCAGCAGCAGCAATAGCATCAACAGTAGCAGCAGCAGAAGCTGCAGCAGAAGCTGCAGCAGTAGCAGCAATAGTAGCTGTGTGTGTGCTGCTATCCACACCACCTCTTGTCAAGGGACATTAACCTTCACCACGTGAACTGCAGTCATCCTCCCAGCAGCGGCTTTTGGCCGGCCTTCAATCAAAGATGGGGACCACATCGCGCTTTCAGATGCATTTCTGCGGCCGTCTGGAAATCTTCCGATACTTGGAAGTGGCTGGAGCTACCCACTTTTCGATCTCATTTCTTTAGAGCAGTTTTTTGTGCTTAGTTTGTCGTCCTTACTCCCCCCCCCCCGCTTCTCCAATCAGCACGGTTGGCTACGTACGGTGCAAAAAAAGTTCAACGTTAAATACGCGAATCAACCACCCTTGCAAATGAGACTCGTCCAGATGTCTTCTTGAGCCCTCACCTAGTTAGACTGTGAGCGCTCGTTAGTAGCGCTCGCCCCACACCCTACGGAGAGGCCACGTGGGTGACAGCCGTCGTGTGTGTGCGTGTGCGGCTGTCTGTGTGTGTGTGCGCGTACGGCTGTCCGTGCGTGTGTGCGTGTGCGGTAGAGGAATGTTGAGCATGCCGCTCTCTGAAACCGACGACCCAAGTTCTATTTCCACCAACACCAGTGGCAATTATTTGACCCGGTTCTCGGCCTGCCCTAGGTAGACTCAGCCTCAATTGAGTACCCAGTGTGGTGTGTAAACATCACCACGAGGGAGACAAAGACGGCCGGGCGTGGTTCTGGCCACCCTCCCCCTCGCATGCCGTTCCAGCCTTCATAGGTGATCACTAACAGCACTTGCCTCAACAGTCTGCTGAGGCTATACGAGGGGGTCTTTGTCTTTGTGCGTGTAGGTGAGCGTGCTCACCGACCAGGTGGAGGCGCAGGGGGACAAGATCCGGGAGCTCGAGTTCTGTCTGGATGAGCACCGCGAGAAGCTCACCGGCACCGAGGAGATGCTGCAGCAGGTGAGGACGCGTGGTGGGGGTACTCACTCACCCACCCACACACCCACTCACCCACCCACACACCCACCCACACACCCACTCACCCACCCACACACTCACTCACCCACACACCCACTCACCCACACACTCACCCACCCACACACCCACTCATCCACCAACACACCCACTCATTTACACATTCACCCACTGACCCACCCACCCACTCACCCACCCACACACTCACCCACCCACACACTCACTCACCCACTCGCTCATTCCCACACTCACCCACGCCCTCACCCACTCATTCACCCACTTACTCACCAACCCACGCACTCACTCATTCCCACACTCACCCACCGACCCACACACCCACTCACCCACCAACTCACCCAATGACCCATTCCCACACTCACCCACGCACTCACCCACTCATTCACCCACCTACTCACCAACCCACGCACTCACTCATTCTCACACTCACCCACCCACCGACCCACCTACTCACCCTCCCACACACTCACTCACCCACTCGCTCATTCCCACACTCACCCACGCACTCACCTACTCACCAACCCACGCACTCACTCATTCCCACACTCACCCACCGACCCACCCACCCACTTACTCACCCACACACTCACTCACCCACTCGCTCATTCCCACCCTCACCCACGCATTCACCCACCTACTCACCAACCCACGCACTCACTCATTCCCACACTCACCCACCGACCCACCCACCCACCCACTCACCCACCAACTCACCCACTTTCTCACCCAATGACGCATTCCCACACTCACACACCCACCGACACAAAACACCCATGTACGAAAATGAATTGGCCGAACATCCCAGTGTTATTATTATTATCAAGATTCCTATCCTCGTTACTACTGGAGACATCAACGCCCTCATCGCGATGGCTTCCATGCGGCCGTGCCGCGTGTTCATTGCCCATTGTCAAGCGCCGTGCGTGGTTACATCTCAGGCTGAGGATGTCATCGGTGTGGGGCCGATTCCCCCGGGGTTTAACTCGGTATCTTCGCTGGCATGCGTTGTTTACGGAGGAGGGATGATGAGGGGGGATGAGGGGGAATCCGGCAGCCCTACGGGGCCCGGGGCGCTCGGACAGCCGCTGACTTTCTCTGAAGATGTCGGAGAAGTAACTCGGCCTCTTCGCCGCCTTCCTGCTGGAGAGTTCCCCCACTCGTGTGGGCTGCTGCCCCTCTCTCTCCCCTCACTCCAGTCCTTTAATATATAATAATAATTGATATAATCACGATAAAATCATGAAACAATTTGTGTCGCACGCTCATCGCTTGTCCGCTCGCGAGCCCGGAGGCGCTTGGCGATGTGCCCCCACGGCCGCCTGTGCGCCAGCCGGGACGAGCACACGGCGGCCTCCAGCAGCTTTGGTTGGAACCATCTCCTCCAAGTTCACCCCCAGAGCCCTTCTCATCCTGGTCACACCGCTTGGAGTCCCCCCCCCCCCCCCCCTCTGTCTCTCTCGGCACTGCCTCGGTCTCCTGCCTCGGTCTCCTGCCTCGGTCTCCTGCCTCGGTCTCCTGCCTCGGTCTCCTGCCTCGGTCTCCTGCCTCGGTCTCCTGCCTCGGTCTCCTGCCCCGGTCCTTCCAAGGTCCTCTCCTTTCTTCTTCCCGACTGGTTGCCCTCCCTTCTCGAGACGTCTCCCTCCCCCCCCCCCCCCCCCCCTCGAGCCATCCGAGTCGACAGTCCACCAGCAGGGCCTCTAACGCAGCCTCTCAAACCCCGATACTTGCCGTGCCTCAATTTGCGCAAATCGTTTGACAATTTCACCAAATCACAATAAGTGTCTCCCACACAGCCCACCCATGTGTATTTCGCTGCTTGGCTGTGAGAGATCCGAGCGGATGCCGTTCGACGATTGTAACAAATAATCTCAACGCGGGTGAGTCGGCCAAGATGGCCTCTATGAGGAGGGGCTCTCTGGCAGAGGCCTCTTCTGCCAGCGGTGGTGCAAGAAGAGCACTTGCAGGGGCTGCACCTTTATTTTAAAGCAACATTTTTTTTATATTTTATTGTTGAGGGAGATGGGGTTAGTGGTCACCTCTCGGAGTGGCCCCGTCCGTCGCACGGTCCACGGAATGGCGAGCGTGTGCTGGGCGAGGATTTAAAATAACTACAAATCTGGTAAATCCGTTCACGGTCTCTCGTTTGGTTTAAGTAGCGGTTGCATTTCGGCTGCACAATGCCTCTTCCTCCCCCCACCCCACGCCTCCTCCTCCTGTGCCGCCGTTACAGAGAAAAAAACCGAGAGAAAAGTGGCCCCTAATCACAGCCGTGTCATTCGCTTCAAAGGCAAAGTCATATTTTAAGCTAAGAGGAAAAATAAATATTAAATCAAGATTTTTCCAGCACCTACCCCGTGGTTATTTCCAGGCTAATGTGGGCATCGCGTCCCGCGCCACCGCGAGACCTGACGGTGCTGGCACCCCCCCCCCCCCCCTTCAGTGTGGCACAGCCGCCCATTACGCGCAGCGTGCGAGCGCGCCGGCCCTACGCGGTGCCGCCACGCGGGACTTCCGGTGCAGCGGGGCTGTCTCCAACCCTACGGCACCACCACCACCACCAACCATGCGTCTTTAGGGGTGGCGGCGGCGGTGGCGGCGGCGTGGTGGTTTTTGCGAGCATAGCCGTCGCGGCTTGTTGACGTTTCATCCGTCGCGGACGTTTCGTCTGTCGCTCCGCAGGAGCTGCTCGCTCGGAACAACCTGGAGACGCAGAAGGTGGACCTGGTGACGGAAGTGTCCTCCCTCAAGCTGAAGATCACCGCCATGGAGGTGGAGGATGCTGGAGAGGCGCGCCCGGCTGACAGAGAGGTACGGGAGGACGTCTCGCTCGCGCTCGTCTGTTACGTTATCGCCACTGGCCGTTTTGTTTTACTATTTACGAGTCACCGTTAGACCGCGGACCACCTTGCTCAGAAGTAGTTCTGTGATATCCGCTTTTGTGGGCCCGTTTGGCAAGACATCCCAATAGATCTGTCGTCGCCTCGCGACTCGGCACTAGTTGCGCAGATTTGCGTAGAATTGGCGCGAAAGGGATAACAATTATTTACGTGTTCGTATATATATAACAAGAAGTAAATAGAAAGACAGACTCACGCGTGAAAAACCACGGCTCACCGAGCTGACCGAGACGCGGAGGTGGCGGCGTGCGGCACGGAGCCGGCGCGGCTCGCAGAGCTACCCAGCAGTTACGCGACACAGAGACGGAGACTGAGACCGAGATGGCTGGCAAGCGTGGAGAGGCGGAACGCTTTGGGGCCTTCTCCACGACCCGCGTTCCACACCCCCCTGTGATGATGGAGCATGTGTCCGCCCCCCACTCCTCACCTTCCCCGCGCCCCCCCCAACAACTCTCACCTCCCGACCCCCGTGCCGCCGTCCTGGCCGCCCCCCCGGCAGTGGGTGGAGGGCCTGGTGGGCGCCTTGCGGCTCCAGATGAGCCGCCTGGAGGAGGAGGTGGTGTCCGTGCAGCGCGACGCGGGCGCAGCTCCTGCCCAGGTCGCCCGTTTGCCGAGTGCCGCTCCCCTCGCCGACCCGGCATGAGTTTGGCCCCCTCCTGGTGTGCAGAAATGGTCTTCGGGTCAATGCCCCGAAAATTGCTTGTCAGTACCGCCCTGGGTGGCAAATGCTACCGATGGTTTTCCTGAACGGTTTTATCTCCAGATCACAAATCTGCGTGATAGCAAGGGACTCGTGGTAGCTTGAAATAAAAAAAAATATTGCTACCACAGTGTGTTTGATATGGAGAATTGTCATTTTAGAAATGAACAAATAATTAAATGTGATGTGAACCTTCTACATAAGATCAAAACAAATAGATGTGTTTATAAAACATATATTAATACATAGGCGGAGATTTAGCCCATTGTGGACACAGCCCATGGTGCATACTGGAAGCATTTCCCCCCCCCCCCCCCCCCCCCCAGGTGGTACCGACCAACCCAATTGGCTCGTGGGTGTAAATGGGCGCGATGCGGTGCGGTGCGATGCGGTGCGGTGCATGGCTAATTAAGCAGCGCATGGTGTGTAATGACTCGCCAAGACCCACCCACCGAGTCAGTCACCCACCAACACACTCAGCCAGCCTGTCAGCCACCCAGCCACCCAGCCAGCAAGTTCATAAAGGTCACGTCTGTTTATTAGTTAATATGTTATTCTAGTTTTAAATTTGCCGACTAACACTACGCTGACAAACAAAGCCACGTGGCCGTGTGTATATCTGCCGACTCGTAATGTAACGAGTGTTGATCTGGCTCAAAACTCTTTATCAAAGCCCCTCCTTGGCCTGACAGCCAAATACATCGAATCGGTGATTAGCGCGCCAGTTACCACTGATTGGTCTCCCTCGCCGGCAGAATGACTCTCACGGCCAAATGGAGCATTCCAGACGTGCGGCGGTTCGCTTGAGACTGCGTCAAGCATGCGTCAGGCATCTCCATGCAACCAGGATGGCAGAGTAACCGTGTCACATGGTCCGGATCCTGCAATCGGGTGGCTCTCCCTTCTCGTCCCACCTTCTCTTTCTCTTCCCTCCTCTCTGTCATCATCATCATCACCCTCTCATCATCAACACCCTCTTATCGTCATCATCATCATCATCACCACCCTCTCGTCACCTTTCCACTCGGCGCTCCATACTTCGTCCGTCCACGGCTAACGAGTTTTATTGTTCATTGGAACCGCTCATGAGTATGCCAGTCTGTAGATTTGCATCGTATGAGTCTCATCCCTCTAAGCCTCCTGCGTGTCTGCCATGGCGTTTTCAGCGACAGTAGAAAGAGCAGTAGCAACAACATGCGAATTTGTGAATATCGCTTTAAATATCCATATCTCTCACGACGTGACCATCTTGGTCTCTCTCTCTCTCTCTCACGACCCGGCCGGGCGCTCTCCCTCCCCCGTGGCCACCCTCCACCCGTCTCCCACGGCCGTGGAAGTGTGCGGAGTAACTCCACCTGTGTGCTGGCAGCGTGCGGTTCGTTGTTATTTTTTTGCAGACGATGACAGCTGCGATGGGGTCGAAGGTCAGGGTCGCGGCGTGGGCTGTTAAGCTTTTGGCCCACCCCTTCTTCCCAACACTCCTTGCCCCATCCCAGCTGTTGAAATGAGCAGCTGCTATTAGCCTCAAATTGAGTCCATAACAAGCGTTAATTGATAATTGAATTGAAGCGCCGTACCTGTTGGTGGCAGCCATGGGGGGGGGGGGGGGTGCGGAGAGCGGCGTGGGAGCAGCCGGTCTGCTATTAAATCCGCCTTTAAAATCCCTGCGGTGGTTTAAGATGTTGGGGGGGGGGGGGGGTGGAAGAGTTGGGGAGGGGGGCAGCGGTGCTGCGGTTAACGCTCCGCCCTACGAACCCAACCCAGAGACCTGAGTTCGATTCCCCGCTCCCAGTTTTGGAGCGAGCGTGCAACTGATTGTGCGTGAATGCGATTGCGCCGCAGTTTGGTTCGCGTGTGAGATGCCGCCGCGTCGCAGGACGCTAATTCAGCGGCACGCGAGAGACGCCAGCGCGGCACGGCTGCCACTTCCGGCGTCTTGGGTATCCGTGTATGTGTTGCGTGTCGATCTTCATTCGCGACGCACGGAGCCAGCCGCGCTTATCAGAGGTGCGGCAGCTGCCCGAGATGCTGCTGCCTCGTGTGCCACTGCGCCTGTGTGCTGCTGCCGGTACCAATTGAGGCCGCTCCCACCCCCTGACCCCCAGCGCTCGTGATGTAACGGCTTGCTTGTGCGGTGGCTGGGTTCGTATTTTTGGAGTTGGCCCAACATCCCGCTACGGGACCGCAGAGCTTGGACATTTGTTGGCACCGCCGGGTCTGGTTGCCTCCCTGGGCGCTCGCCTGCCTCCGATGTCCCCCCCCGAGCACCGCGTGGCGCTAGGAACCCGACAGCGGAGTGACGTGCAGTTTGCGGGAGTGACGCTCGAAAACAGTGGAATTGTTATTATTAGTATCGTTATTGTTATTAGTCGGTGGCGGCTGATTGGGGGTGGGTGGGTGGTGGAGGAGGAGTTGGGGCTGGGGGGGGAGATGAGGCGGCGCTCACCGACGCTCGCTCACCGCTCAATGAAGCACTTCTTCAAAACGAGAAAATAATAATTCATCATCGCCGGCTGCGTGACCCCCACGCCAACGCGCGGTCCCCCGGGCCACTTGAGTCGTCGCGTTTACCGGCGGAACGCCAACGACGCTAAGCCACCCCAATCGTGGAACGACCACCCCCATCACCCCCCAGCCCCCCATCTCCAGTTTCCATCCCTGACCACCCCCCCCCCCAACATCTTTACCGCCTCTTCTCCGCATCGCACCTCTCCTTCTCCCCAGCCTCCTATTTGTGAAAATAGGAAGCAGATTCAGCTGATTATCTGTTAAACTGAAACGCGGTGGAAAAAAAAAAACATTTTACGTGACGGTTCCCAGAGATAATGTAATTTTCGCGAGTTTGAAGCGATTGAGACGCGCGTGCGATGTTCATGATTTTGCATCTCATCTCGTGGCTGTCCGCTCGTTCCCAACGCTTAGCGTCATCATTATTGCGGGAAATTAAGCACGGATGAAGATTCTATTTTAAGTGTCGCGGAGATGGAATCTGAGCGCCGCCACCCCCCACTGCTCCCCCCCCCCTCCCCCGTCTCCCGACAGTATCCGTGATGAAGCCTCGGTAATTAGTTACACTCTTGACGCAAAGGTGTTAATTGTTTTGTGTTTGAGATTTCTCCGTAAGTTCGTTGGTGTGCGGTGTGTGCCGCGTGCGATGCTGATGGCAGTGCAGTGCCACACCGTTAGGCTCCGTCCAACAGAATCCCCGCTCATGCATCAACCATCACCACGCGAACTCCACGTGTCCTCGTAGCAGCAGCAGCGGCGGCCATCGAACAAAGACGATGCTGGTGGTCACTGCATCGTGCTTCTGCGGCCGTCTGGAACGCTCCTCCTTCCGATATCAGAAAGCCAGTGGGAGCGATGCACTTTTTAATCTCGATCGAAAACTCATTTCTTTCGAACTGATTATTGTGGTTAGGTTGTTGTTCTTCCCCCGCACCTCAAATTAGCACGGTTGGCTGCGTACGATGTGAAATAAGTTCAACATACATGCATACAGTGTGTGTTTTGTATCAAGTTGAAGTGACTAACAAACGCACTTCTGGGCACGTGTGTGACATCCCCTGTGTGTGACATCCCCTGTTTGTGACATCCCCTGTGTGACAACCCCTGTGTGACAACCTCTGTGTGACAACCCCTGGGTGTGACATCCCCCGTGTGTGACAACCCCTGTGTGACAACCTCTGTGACAACCCCACGTGTTTTTGAGCTTCTCCGATTGCCGAGCGTGGCATCTGTAGTTCTAATGACAACGCCTCTCTTCTCCGCTCCCCATTAATGCCCTTTGTTTCCTTATTCCCAAATCAGTTAACAATACACATATATGTGTATATCTGTGAAATATGCATGCCGACATACACGCAGGCAGATTAATGAGATTATTCATTTGTTGGTCGTGGTGGAGGAATATTATTATTATTACCTGGCAGCCTGTAGATGGGGTTGGTGAATCATTCAGAGATGGAGACATCTGCCTCTATGATAACGTGTGTGTGTGTGTGCGCCGAGCTTATGTCTGCCAGTTAATGCTGGTGAGAGTCTGCATTTAGCTGTTATCATTTGATAGGCAAACAGATTCAGCCAAATGGTACCTGTGAAGACGTGCGAGTGAGTGAGAGAGAGAGTCAGTGGGTGGATGGGATTGGAGTGAGTGGTTGAGCGAGTGGGTAAGTGAGTGGTTGATTGAGTTAGTCAGTGATTGAGTGAGAGAGTGAGTGAATGAGTTCATTATTGAGTGAGTGAGCGAGCTGATGGTGGTGAATGTCGGCTTATCTTGCGCTATCGTGAGTAAGAGTGTGAGTGAGCGAGTGGTGCAATGAGTGATTGAGTGAGTAGGTGAGCGACTGAGTTCGAGTGGGCAAACGTGTGCGAGTGAATCGGTGAGCGAGTGAATCGGTGAGCGAGTGAATCGGTGAGCGAGCGTGTCAGTGAACGAGCAGTGCCTGCGTGAGCGCGTGGCACGATGAGCGAGGTGAGTGAAAGCGAACGGGTGAGGTGAGCGCTCGCTCGAGCGAGTGAGTGAGCGAGCTGTGAGCTGTGAGCGTGCGAGTTGACGGGTGACTCTGTGGCCCAGGTGTTGCTGGGCGAGCTGGGCTCTCTGCGGAGCCGCGTGGCGGAGCTCGAGGAGGAGAAGACGAAATGTGAAACGAAACTCAGCAGCACCGCGGTGCGAGTCCTAACCCCCCCCCCCCCACAGCGCGACCCCCCACGACCCACCCACCCATCCACCCCACCCCCCCCCCCCCCGGCTCTCCTCAATACGCTCCACTCACCCACTCGCCTTACTCGCACTCGCTCCATCCTCACTCACACAACCAATTGCCTCACTTGCTCCACTCTCACCTGTTCAACTCACTCACCCCGACATCGCCCACGCAACCACTCGCCACATTTATCAATACTCGAGGTGGCTCAGCGTGCCACAGGGTGGCTCATAATGGTCACGTTCGATCTCTGAGCCAGCCACCACCAAGAGCCTGGATTGGAATCTGTGATTAAACCGAATTCTCAAGTGTTGATGATCTTGGCCCATTCACCAGTGACTTGCACAGAGACCCATCGAGATCAGAATAGAGATCAAAGACTTGCGTAGAGACCCATAGACTCAGGTAGTGACCCCATAGACTCGTGCAGAAACCCACAGACTCGCACAGACTGAGCTGTAATTTAACCGGTGTATCTAGTGCAGTGAGATGATCTCAGCCCGGTCACGAATGACCGCGCACACCAAATAAATATATATAATCATCGTATTAAATTTGTCCCACCACTTAATTTTGGCAAAATGTTTAAATGGTTGAAATATGACGAACACTTCTTTTTTCATGACAGCATAAATAATGTGTGCCCCTAACCGCTAATGCAAGGTGACAGAAAGAGGCCTGAGAAGGGGTTCTGTGTGACGCCCCATTCCACAGACCGTTTCGAGACTTCCTCATAGAAACGTCTTCATCTCGCCAGCAACACGTGGTCAATAACAGCATCAATGGATTTTAATTGGGAGCCAAAAGAGAGGAACGTGCTGCACTTCAACATTTTTAATTAGCAACGAAAAAATAAACTGCAGCGCACAAAATCACTTTGGTCTTTGTCTCGGCGCTTTACGCTCTCCTCATCCCAGCTCGTTAGGGCTGCCAGCGCGCTGCCATCGCTGGCAGCCCTATTTCCGAACGACGCGATGTTCGTGCCCCCCCCCCCATCTTCCCGCCCCCCCCCCCCGCTACCGACTCATCGCCGCCGCGACGACGACGTGTCCGCGTTTCACCCCAGTCGAGGTTCATTCCTGGCAACGCTCATCGTTAGCCGCCGTGTATCTTTCCTCCGATTATAAAAACAAAAACACCTGGTCCTTGTCGTCGCCATTGTCACATCAGCTGTGTTGTTGCCGCTGTCGGTCGGATCATAGAGATACATAGAGACTCATAGGGATACATAGAGACTTGTAGAGATACATAGAGACTCATAGAGATACATAGAGGCTCATAGAGATACGTAGAGACTCATAGAGACGCATAGAGACGCATAGAGACGCATAGATACTTATAGAGATACATAGAGGCTCATAGAGACACATAGAGACTCATAGAGATACATAGAGACTCATAGAGACACATAGAGACTCAAAGTTTTGGCCAATCCTGGCCAGCTGGCTCAACAACTGAACAAACACGGCACCGACGACGACGACGTCGCCTCCCTCCCCACAGGCGGAGCTGGCGGAGCTGCGAGAGCGCGTGGCCACGAAGGAGCGGGAGATCGAGACGCTGCGGCTGGAGCTCGCGTCGCGGACGCCCGACGCCGTCGTTGCCGCCGCGTGCAAGGGTACGAACGCGCGAGGAACACCGCTCGCTCGCTCGCTCAATCACTCGCTCCGTCGTTCCCTTGTTACGTGGAAAGTCCGGTTGTGTAGCCAGTTACCCAGCTAGCTTCGCAAAGGGTAGAGATCCGTGGTGTACTTTGGCGGCACAGAAATTACACCATCATCATCATCAGGTCACCGCGCATGTGGAGACCGCCGATGTTGCGTATCGTGCACATCTCAGCCACCCAACGCGGCCGAATAAACAAAGTCGCCGATTGCCCGAACTCCGCGTACATGTTCCTCAGCCTTGGCCTTTACACAGGTCGTACCAAATGTGTTACATTCTGGAAAACAACAAGTAAAATAATAATATTTAATCTTTTGTAAAAAAAAAGTGCTGCTTAGGCACGTGTTATTTAGTAATTAAATCACGACTTAAATCAACAGCAGCAAAATTGGCCATGGTATTTTGAAATGTTTGGCAATTTATGAAGAGACGATCTGCGCTAATGAGCGTCTGAACGAGCGAGTGGGACGATAACGCGACGGGTAGAATCGGAGGCACGAAGTGTCTCGTGCCCAAAATAAAAGATGCAGGCTGTGGAGACATTATATTACATTATCTCGGTTAAATCAGCACCTTAGCATAAAGCACACGGTACTGCTGTGTGCTCTATGAATGCAAAATCGTGGGGTGCTTTTATTTAGTTATTTAATAATCTGCAAGAGTTGAGTTCCTCGCCCGCTCGCTAGGGAGGCAACAACCACACGCAACAACCAGACGCAACAACCAGACGCAACAACCACACGCAACAACCAGACGCAACAACCACACGCAACAACCAGATGCAACATCCAGATGCAACAACCAGACGCAACAACCAGACGCAACAACCAGACGCAACAACCAGACGCAACAACCGCACGCAACAACCACACGCAACAACCAGACGCAACAACCATACGCAACAACCACACGCAACAACCAGACGCAACAACCAGACGCAACAACCAGATGCAACAACCACACGCAACAACCACACGCCACAACCAGACGCCTCACCACTCAACCGCCTCGTGACCCTTCCGCTGGCGAGGAGGTCAATAGGTCATCGAGACCAATGCCACCGCACCCGTCACCTAACGCGAGCCTTGCCCTGGAGCGAGTGCTGTCAACAAGCGCCTATGAAGGCCGCCACGACACACGAAGTGGTGGGTCACCAGCACCACGCCCGGTCGCCTTTGTATCCCGAGTGGCGATGTTTACACACCGCACCAGGTGCTCATTTGACGTAGGGGAGGCCCAGCACTGGTTTCAGATAATTTTTGCCGGTGTTGACCAGTGAGCGGGAACCGAACTCGGCTCGCCGGCTCAAGTTAAGACCAGGAACCGCCTACAGGTTGTACCGGTTCATTTGTGCGGTGAATCCGAGGGAATTACTTGCCAACGCCGCTCATTTCCAGTGCTTCATGAAAGTTTATCTTTAGTTATATCGCGTACATATAAATGTGTCTTTAAAGGCTTTTTTTCACGTAAGCAAAAGGTGCCAATGAGTTGCTGCTTCAGCACAGGCCGTGTGTGTGTTGGAGAGTAAACCCACGACACTTACCATCCATTTCCAGCGCATACCGCACCACTCGCCGTCATTGGTCACACACAGGATACATTGTAAGGATACATTATTTTTTTTTGACGAGTTAGACACATGGCCTGGGCTCCTGGGCCCACCTCCGCATTCAACAAAACTTGCACCGAGGTCACGCGTGAAAGTGTTGTACTGTACTTCAAAGTCGCGCGTCCTAGGTAAGCAGGCGTTTGGCCTCCAAGATGTCAAACGCCCGCGAGCTAATTAAAGAGTGGACAAAGAGACACAGGAAGCGCTAAGCAAGGTCCTTGTGATTTATAACAGAAAATAACAACCGTTGGTTTCGTTGTGGAGAATATAAATAACAACACAGATAAGCAGACGATGTCTCCATGTACATATATATCTATCCCTTCACGGAAAAATAAAAAGTATCCTTTACAGTTTACACAACTCATCGCCTCACGGCCTTCTGGGACCAAATCAACACTTGTGTCATGACTTCACTGCCAGAAGGCCGTGGTGCAGATGGGTTGTGTGAAGTGTAAAGGATACTTTTTTACTGTTATGTGGACAGACAGATAAAAATATATATACAAAGTGTACGAAGGAGTCATCATCTGCTTATGAGCATACGAAGTCCCATCGTCACCATCGTCATCATCGTCGTGAGTACATTTGGTTTCAGTGCCATTCTCATAGCGCAAGGCTATCTATGTATGTATGTTGAAATTCTTTCGCATTGTACATAGCCCACCGTGCTAATCTGAGGTGCTATCACGACGGAATGCACGGACGGGCAAAGTCTGCGGCCATTTCACAGTGGGACGGGTGGGGGGAGGGGAACGTTGCAAAGTGGTTTCATCCAATTCGGTGAGTTTGGCAATTCATGATCAAACTTTGCTTACGTTTTACGCCATGGTGACGACCCTTTAATGACCCTAGTGTCCAGCCTCAACTCCCTAAATCTTCCTGGAGCCGCCAGGGTCCTAGCTGAGAAACCTGCTGACGTAGTACATCCCGTCGGCAGGGAGCGTGACACGAGGTGGTGGTTGTGGTGGTGCCTTCCTCGTGTCTCTCGACAGACGAGGAAATTCAGAAGATGAAGAGCGCTGTTGAGTCACTGCTGCAGTCCATCCAGGAGAAGGTGAATCGCGAGGCCTCGCTGGGCGGCGACGCGACCGTAATATGCCACGGTCGCTGGCGGTCATTTTACGATGAGAATCACATCCTTTACATGTTATTTTTTATCGGCAAGTGAATAGTTACCCTTGTAGCAGCTGTCGGGTTTACGGTGCAGTCGGTGAGGCGTACGCTTCCCTCCCTAGGACCGCAAGATCTCAGAGCTGCACGAGGCTTTGGAGGCCTATAGAGAGGCGCAGGAATTGGGGGGTCGCCTTGCCCCCCGCGACCGAGGCAGGCCCTTCCCACCGGCGCCGGAGGCGGCCGAGGGGTCAGGGCCTTCCCATCCGACCTCCCGGGCCACACGCGACCCCTCGCCCTACGACAACAGGTACCCAACTGCGGCTTGCCGTGCTCTCGCTCCAATGCGCTTTGCCGTCGTACCCACCGCGTATCCTTGGACACGATGTCCGAAGGTTCGCGCCACATGCTGGAAGCTTGTTCGGGAATTCAGGAGAACTGAATTTCCTGGAGGAGCTTCCAACAGGTGAAGTGAAACATCGGACATCATGACGATGCAACTGAGGTTACCGATGTGGCCCCACCGACGCGCAGTCTACCGTCTCCCTCCCGCAGGTCTCCCTGCCGGCACAGGTCCAACAGCCTGGAGAATATGCGGACCGAGTCCGGCGATAAGGTGGGGCACTCTTTGTCACCATCGTAACACGCCCCATTCCGCACGCTTTTATTTTTCTCCATTGATTTTTTTATGGTTTGTTTTAAGTTAATGGATGCTCGTGCTAACGGTTGTGTGTGTTCATTTGTGATTTGATTTGCTTAACGCTTTGGGTGCGATCGCCGCGCTGCGTCCATGCTGTGCGCCTGCTTTGTGTTAACGCCCAGCCGTGTGTGCCACGCGTGCAGTGTGTTGTTTGGGAGCCAATGGTGCCGCATCCTGCCGACAAGGTACCACGTCTCGCACCCCCAGTAGACGTGGCAACGTCGGGCCGACGTCACGACGTATGTGGGTGGAACCGTTGGCCCAACGTTCCCCCAACGTTGGCCCAACGTTCCACGTTTACTGGTGCCCATGCGAATGGGGTCGCCCCGCCCATTGGCAGATAAGACGTGGTCCTGCGCTACGCTGAGTCTCAAGTTCAAGTTTCAAGTTGAATTTGTTCGACCAGGTCACAACCGAAGATTCAATGATGATGGCGGTGATTTACGTGGACAAGCCTCCATTAATTGAGATCAGAATGAGAATATTTATTGACATTGGAGGAATCCAATGAGCTGTAAAGCTCTTTTTCACAGATGTCCGGGTGGGGCAGGAATGGTTCCCCATTCGCAGGAATGCGAGATTGACTTCACATGGGAGGAAACCAAGGGCAAAACACTCAAATCCCCGCACAGATGGATTGGAGAATCCATTTGCTATCCTGCCATCTTCTGACCTCCTCGCATACACCTGGTATTCCCAGGGAGTTGCCCATCCGAGCACTTTCCGGGCTCAAATTCCTGCTCGGCTTCCGTCGTCACTGGCCCCCAATTAACGATGACTCCGTTGTTGTCTCGCCGTCGTTTCGGTCCCCTGGGGGCAGGCGAGGGCCGGCGCCAACGGCTCCAAGTACCAGACGCTGCCGGCGCAGCGAGTCAGCGGGACCCCCTCAGGGGGCCCACTGGGCCAGTCGTCACGGAAGCTCCGCACCACCGCTCAGCACGACGGGGCCTACTCCTACCACGGGTCCGACAGCAGCCTCGGTGCGTGTGTGTGTGTGCGTGTATGTACGTGCGTGTGTGCGTGCGTGTGTGTGTGCGTGCGTGTGCGTGTGTGCGCGCGTGTGCATGCGTGTGTGTGCGCGTGTGCGTGTGCGTGCGCGTGCGTGGAGAGCGATAGGATAGCGGTTAGTGCGCTGCGCTATGAACCCAGCAAGCTGAATTTGATTCCCGTCCACGGTCAACACCAGCAACGATTATCTGAACCAGTCCTGGGCCTCCCCTAGGTCGACTCAGCCTCAATTGAGTACTTAGTGCGATATGTTAAAACATTGCCACTAGGGAGACAAAAGCGGCCGGGCGTGGTGGTGGCCACCCACTCCCTCGTGTGCCGTTCCAGCCCTCACAGGTGCTCGCTAACAGTCTGTTAAGGCTACACTGGGGGATCTTCTGTGCATGCGTGTGTGTGCGCATGCTTGTAGCGTAGTGGTTCTGTGCACTGCGATACAAAACCCATGAGACGAGTTCGATTCCTGCTCACGACCAGGAACAGTGGCAAACATCTGAACCGGTTTTGGGCCTCCTCTAATTTGAGTAAATGGTGTAGTTGTCACTGGAGAGACAAAGGCGGTCGGGCGTGGTGTTGGCCACGCACACCCCTCGCGTGCCGTGCAGGCGTTCGCTACACCGTCTGTTAGAGGCCATGCGGGGGGCATCTGCGACGCCGCGCGATGAAACCTATGGGGGCGACGTCGCCGTGGCCACAACGACGCTCGTGATCGTATCTTTGAAGTCTTTTTTTCCCCGGGAACTAAAAGATTGAAGCCGACGCGAGACCCGTAACCCCAGGCGCGGTCAGCGTCTCCGCGATACCGACGGCGTCTCGCCGTCCGTTTCTCGTTGTACCTCTTCGGCTCGGCGCTCTCTCGCGCGACGCGAAGCCCCCGGAGAGAGCTTCAGCGCGTTTCCCGCTCCGCCCCCATCGTGTCGAGGCCAGCGCGCATTAACGCCCCCCCCACGCTATGAACCCCGGCCACACGAGCTTGTTGGATTCCCGGCCATGGCGAACGTCGGTGGTGAGCAGGCCGCCCAGAGCGGGGAGGCAAAACAGGCAACTTGAAATGAGAGGGTCTCAGGATGGGGGATTAGGTGGCCAATGAATGAGGGGGGCCGCCAGGCGGCGTTCTGCCCTGGGCCTCCGTGAGCCTCGGAACTTTTCCAACCCACACTGACCAGGGTGGTGAAGTATGGGAGAGAAAAAAAAATCCATGAGCAAACATGGCATGGGGTGGCCTTCAACTATCGGTGGAGTGATAATGATCCTACATTTGTGAAGTATATATATAGCCATATCAAGAGGTAATATTTTCTCGTCCTACGGGAATGGTACATTTTTTGCCTCAAGTTTGCTTCTTAAAATCGCTCCTCCTTGCCAGAGGCTCGCAATGCGTCCATGACTTCTGCTGTCCGTGACCTTTGCCGTCCGTGACCTCTGCCGTCCGTGACCTCTGCCGCTTTATTCGCGCGTTACCTCTTAATTGGTTGTGGACCGACATGCCGCACGGCTATTCACACCCGTTTTCTACCCTCCTCTTGCTCTGCCCCTGGTGATCCCACCTCTCCTGAACCCCACTCCCCAAACCCACTCTTGAACCCCACTCTTCAACCCCTCTCCGAAACCTTATTCCTGGTAACTACTCCTATATCCCACTCCTCAACCCCACCCCTAAACCCTACTCCTGATCCCGACTCTGAAATCCTCAATTCTAAACCCCACTCCTCAACTCTTGACCCCAACCCCTTATTCCTGCACTGCCTCTGGACCCCCCCGGATGCTCCGTGTGGTCAAAGATCGTCACCGGAGTGCGAGCGCGCCCGCCCTAGGTAACGACCGCCTGCCTAACAAGCTCCCCCCTCTCCTCGGTGGCGTCGCTAACGAGTGTGCAGGCGGTGCAACCGCACGGAGGCTCACGAGCCTGAGGGATGGGGGCTGGTAGAATGTATGTGCTGAGGCAATTTTTACTCGTACACTTTATTTATTTTGCCGTGGCTTGCTGACCTTTTCTCTTTTTTTTCACGCCTGTTGTGGTTTTGTATCATTTTGTTGCTGTAACTTTGCTGACCCACCCCTACTGGACATCTGTGAAAAAGAGCTTCACGGCTCATCGGGTTTCTCCATGCAGTCTAAAGAAAGATTCTCACTCCCTTGGCAACCCACGCTACGCCACTTCCTCTACCCCATGTGATGCACCCGTCTCCCTCTCATTAACCCCCAGCGCTTTACAAGCCAGAGTCGGTGTGCGTGGCTCTGTGTGGCTTTGTGTGCCTGGATCTGTGTGGCTCTGTGTGCATCTGTGTGCGTGGCTCTGTGTGATGTCTCGTGCGACGTTCCATTGCTAAAAACATAGAGCAGGAGTGGGAATTATTGCACTTAACCGAGGACTTTGCTATAGACTATCTAATACTATGTAACTCTACGACTCTCTATGCAACTCTATGAATCTCAATGCAACTGCGATGTCCTGTGGCTGTCGCCACTGCCGACGGCGTTGGCCTGTGGCCGTCTTTGCAACAGAGCCGCTTGGCACGATGGAGCCTCCATAGCAGCTGGAACAATAAAAGTCTGAGTCCGACCCTCGACTTCAATCGCCACTTAGTGCCCAGACCTGGTCCATAGAGCGGTGCTCAGGCACAATCGGCAGTGACGTCCGAAAGTATCGCTCGCTCGCCCAGACGAACCGTCAGCCTGCCAACTGATGTTTCCGTTTTTGTTCAGACGACAGTTTGCTTCATTACTGTGTTCTGTTTATATTCTTGGTTATTTCGGTAAAGTCACATAGAAGGGAAATAATAAAATAATATAAATGTAAATATTTTATTTTATTATTTCCCTTCTACGTGATCTTACCGAAAGAACCAAGAATATTAATATCTGCAGTCACGAAAGCTTTAAATCAAAATTTGTGTTCTGCTTGTTTTGTGTTTTGTAATTCGCGGTGACCAGCCAAACCAACGAAGCAAACGAGACTCTGTCCTGGTCTCTTGAATCATTATCTGGTTCAACAACATCAACTTGAAACATGAGGGTTGAAATTCTTTACGGGATAGCTCTGTCCGTCTGTCCATTTGTAATGGGGGTGGGGGGCGATAACTCCTGTAAAGATGATCTAATTTGAGCAAAACTTTAGTAAATAAGTTGGGTTGCTATTGGCGACTCAGCTGATGGAAACACGGCCACATTGATCAAACTTGTATTGCCACAACTCGAACACACACACGAACCAGAGGAAACAATGAGTCACGTACATCGGCACTCCTCACTAAAACTATAACCTCGCCACTCTAGAACACGTGAACGCAAGAAACATTCGCACACACGAGCAGATTCTAGATCCGACTCTCCGAGGAGCAAAATAGCCCAACTCCTAACTGTGCCCGCCAGCTCCCCTTGACAACATTCGCCATTGCCGCAGGATGGTGGGTCGGCGCCTGGTACAGGATATGTGCAGATGTCGAAGACTAACGCGTAGTTTGTAAAGCCTTGCGTAATCCACGCGTGCGTCGGATCTTGGGTAGACAGCAGGGTGGTGATGGTGGTGGTGGCAGTGTGGTGGTGGTGGTGGCAGGATGGTGGTGGAGGTGGCAGTGCGGTGGTAACCACTCGTGCCTCACAGCAAGGAGGTGGCCTGAGTTCGATTCCCGACTGGGGCTCCTTTCTGTGTGGAGTTTGTATATTCTCTCACTCTTCCTGTTCTGCATGGGTTTCCTCTGAGTTCTCCAGTTTCATCCCATAGCTAAATAAAAACCCTACAGTTCAGGGAGTATTGGCCAGGAAACATCCCAAAACTGAAATATCACCTTCAAATCACTCAATTGGAATTCCACACAGCAGCGGCTCCCTGCTGCGAAAACGTGGCAGGACCCTCCTGAGAATAAAGCCTTGAGACTCTGTGAGTCTCACCTGGCTAAGTGACGGTAATATTAATGAAAGTTAATCATGTTTAACAATGAACGCGCGGGGATTAAACTTTTTTCTTCCCCTCCACGCGTGGAACCCTGACCTTGGGCCGGGTGTTGCAGGCGAGCCCAACGGCTACTCCCCGGGGTCACGTAGTGGCTCCGAGCGGGGCCAGGGGTCACCACCCTCCGCGGGGGTCGGGGTGGCACCCGCGTCGCCACCGCCCTCCGCCCGCGACGCTCGCAAGAAGGGCAAGGGCATCCGCCGCCTCTTTGGGAGGTGAGCAGCAGCGGCGGCGGTGCCAGCACCTTCATTACCGTCATCATCGCCGTCATTGTTACTACAGCCATCATCATCGTCGTTCATATTCTTGGTTCTTTCGGTAAAGTGACGTAGATCGAAACGTCGTGGTTTTTTGCTTTTTTATTTTAATTTATTTTTTCATTTTCATTTTATTTTTATTTTCTATCTACGTGACTTTACCGAAAGAACCAGGAATACGAATTCCTGCAGTCACGAAAGTTTTAAGTCAAAATTCATCGTTGTTGTCATCAGCATTCCCGTCGTTATCGCCATTACAATTATCATAATCATTGTCGTTATCATCGTCATTGTTATCGCTATGACAACCATCATCATCATTGTCATCAACATCGCCGTTGCGTTCGTCACGTGGCGGACAGCGCGTGGCTCCGCGCCCGACGTGCCAAGCCCACCGTGCGGTGGAGGACGCGGCCCAGCGAGGTGCCGTCAGCTCCGCGGGCTCATTGCCAACCGTGGCTCAGGACGGGCTCGTTTACCTGCTTGGCTTGCCTCGCTCATGATCGCTCTCCTTGACTCTCCCCGACTTCTCCGTCTGCCTCTCTCTCTCTCTCCACCTGTCTCCGCCTCTCCCTACCACCACCCCCTCCGCCGCCCCCAGGCTACGACGCACGCAGTCTGCGGGCCTCACGGGGGAAGTGGGGGGCCCAGAGAAGGAGTTCCGGAGGGGGGGGCTGCGCGCTACCGTAGGCCCCTCGCTCGGCTGGCCCCGGAACCTGCGCAGAGCGGGCAGCAGGTGACGCCTGCCCCCAGCAGCGGTGCTCAGAATCCGAATCAGATTTAATCATAGCGGAAAAATCCGATGAGCGAGAAGAGCTCTTTTTCACAGATGTTTGGCCACGGGGGCGCGACTGGCGGCATGTAGAGAAGCGACGGATTCGTTTGACTGGAGCTGATTTACACCGATCATTTCTTAAACGCTTCCCAACTAAGCTTGGGGGTGGGGGGGGCCCTCATTGTTTCAGGGGGCCCCCCTTTTTATACAGTTCCTTTACTGCTTCACCACCACCAATTGCCATGAGCCAAACGCTGCCTCTGCCATTCCCCAAGACGGCCATTTCCGTTTGGAAATGGACGAGCTGTAGGGAGGCCCGTACCTTCGTCCGCAAAGCATCTCCTACCACGCACCCCGCCCCTCCGTGCCTGCTCCCCGACCTCCAGGGAGCTGGAGACCCCCTTCGCCAGCTGGGGGGTGGAGCAGGTGTGCGGCTGGCTCAGCGAGCTGGGCCTGGGCGCCTGCGTGGGCCTGGCGCGGCAGTGGGTGGTGCGAGGGGACACGCTGCTGCGGGCTACGACGGAGGACCTGGAGCGGGTAGGCCGCGTGCACGGGCGCCTGCGCACGCGCGTCTGTGCGCGCGCGCGCGTGTGAATGGCATGTAAACACCCGGCAGCGTCATCGTGATCGGCGTCGAAGTACCACCCATCATTTGTTAGGCGTCAAATCATCGGACATGGGGAGACGGGTGGCCTGACGTGTTGCTGACCACCACCACCACCCCCTTGTGTGGTGCCGTAACAGCATTCGCAAAGTGCGCTTGGCCCAGCACACGGTGTGTGTGTGCGCGTCTGCAGGAGCTGGGGCTCAAGAACCCTCTGCACAGGAAGAAGCTCACGCTGGCGCTGCAAGCGCTCGGCTCTGGAGAGGCAGTGGGGACCGATGACCTGCACCACACCTGGGTGACGCGTAAGCCCTGCACCACACCCGAGTGCCTCTGATGTTAGCCGTGGCTGGAGGTAGAACCGAAGCCTCCCGGTTCCTCGTGCAGCGCGCTAACCGCTGCGCCGCCGCTCCCCCTGCACCCGCGTGTGTGGCGGCTGCTGCTGCTGCTGTGCCCCAGGCTGGCTGGACGACGTTGGGCTGCCCCAGTACAAGGAGCAGTTCCACGAGGCACGCGTGGACGGGCGGATGCTGCACTACATCACCACGGTGAGCAACCACACTCTACCCCACCACCACCACCACCATACACCCCCGCACGAGACACCACCACGATACATCACCCACGATATAACACCACCATATACTACCATGATACAACACCGCCAACACCACGAGACACCACCACCACATGACACCACCATCACATGACACCGCCCCCCCCCACCTCCACGTTGACCGCCGCGTGTCTCCGTGCGCCACCAGGAGGACCTGCTGCTGCTCAAGGTGACGAACCTGCTGCACCACCTGAGCATCAAGCGTGCGGTGCAGGTGCTCCGACTCAACCACTTCCAGCCAGACTGCCTCATCCGCTCCGCCCCAGAGGTGAGGCTCAGGGAGGCCGTGGGATGCACGTGAGCGGCCGTGTGGGTGTGTGTCCGCCTTGCGTGCGTCTGTCCGTGTGGGCAGTGGTCAGCGGTCGTGGGAAGCGGTGGTGTGGCGGTGAGCATGCTGGCCACCAACACCAGTAGGGATTATCTTAACCGATCCAGGGCCTCCCCTAGGTCGACTTCGCCTCAAATGAGTATCTGGTGCGGTGTGTAAGCATCATCACTCGGGAGACAAAGGCAGCCAGGTACGGTGCTGGCCACCCACCCCCTTGTGTGCCGTGCTGGCCTTCATTAGGTGCTCGCTAACAGGACTTGCCCCTACATTCTGTTACAGTCTACATGGGGGATCTTTGTCTTTATATTTTCCAGTGGTCACAACACTGCCATATGAACCCGGCGACCCGAGTTCAATTCCCGGCCATGGCAAACACCAGCGAGAGAATATCTGAAACAGTCCTGGCCCCCGATCCCACCCCCAGGTCGACTCAGCCTAAAATGAGTACCTGGTGTGCTATGTAAAACATCAGCACTGTGGGCTGTGGTTGTTCTGGTGTCGGGTAACAGTCCGTCCGTTCAACAACTCCGTTAAAAACAACAACACAAACTCAGCGGGAAAATAAGCTAATGTCGTGCGTGGGTTTTTGACGGGTCGCTCCCGGTTTCCTCCCACAATTATGTCATCGCTCCGTCAATTTAATGATAACACACCTTAGTACAGCGTTCTTCACTAATTTGCAGAGGGGTGGGGGGGGTGGCACTCGTGCCGATGAGACATCGTCAGTTTGAGGGCCGCCACTCATTTGAAACCATTTGTGGATCTGACAGCAGCACGATGATGATGGGGGTGTTTTCACTTTTTGTGTATTGTCGGGGGCCGCACGTCAGGGGCCGCACTAATAAAGACCACCAGGGGCCGCCAGTGGCCCGCGTGCCTGGCAATGAAGAAAGCTGTCTTAATAAACAGAGGACCGCAGAGCTTGGGAAATTGTTGGTAGTGCCGGCTCCCCACCGCGTCGCTGCCCTGCCCGCTCGTCTGCGGTTCCCCGTCGCGCCTCTCTCTAGGAGAGCGACAAGCGGACACTTTGCGGCGTTACGAGTTGACATCCTTGGTATTGTCAATATTCTGATTATTAATCTCATCCAGGGGAAGTCGTCCACAACGGGAGTCTACCGCTGGTCCAACCAGCGGCTCATGGAGTGGATGAAGCAGATCGACCTCGCCGAGTACGCGACCAACCTGCGTGGCAGCGGCGTTCACGGCGGACTGCTGGTATGTCGCGCCATCGCCAAGAGGATTACTATATTTTCATTTATTTTTGACCATCGCATGCCCAGGAAAGTCTCGCCGAGTCTCCAGAGTCTTCCTGCAGGAGGGTCGTGCCGAGTTTTTCGCAGTAGTGAGCGATGTTGTTGCTGCTGCTGCTGCTGCTGCATGTGATCCCAATTGAGTGGATTTGCAGATGATTATTCAGCAGTGAGATGTTTTGGTGACATTGCATTTGGGTTTTTTTTTATTTAAGCTATGGGAGAAGGAAACCGGAGAAACCGGAGGAAACCCATGCAGAACAGGGGGGAGAGAGGAATGTAACTCCACTCACTCGCAATTTCTCAATCTCACTAACTCACCGACTCAGCTCTGCAGAGCAGGAGGAGAGAGAGAATGATACAAACTCCACACAGAGAGGATCCCCATTTGGGAATCGAACCCATGCCACCTTCTTGCTGTGACGCACAAGCGTTTACCACTGAGCTGACACCGCCACCGCCACCTTACCACCTACCCATAACCTACTCGAGTGGATGATACAACGCTTCGCGACACGTGTTAGTGTTCGACATCTGCACATATCCTGTATCAAGCCCGGAGCCGCCATCCTGTAGGAATGGCGAATGTTGCTACGAGGAACTGGTGAGTCCTGTCGAGTTGGGCTCTTTGCTCCTTGGAGAGTCGGATCTTTTGATCTGCTCGTGTGTGCGAATGTTTCTTGAGTTCAAGTGTTTCTAGTGACAGTGAGCACTGAGTGTAAGTGAGTTATTAGCACCTTGCCGCCCCAATGATGTCACGCGATACAATGTAGATTTTCACGATTACGATTATGGCGATGTCGGTCAACTCTCGATAACCACGGGGCGGTGTCGTGACCGCTGCCACCGCCGCCACCCCCGCCGCAGATCTTCGAGCCGCGCTTCAGCGTGGAGACGCTGGCGAGCCTGCTGAGCATCCCGCCCAGCAAGACGCTGCTGCGCCGCCACCTGAGCACCAGCTTCAGCCTGCTGGTGGGCCGCGAGGCGCAGCGGGCCAAGCGCGAAGTCATGGACACGGCCCACTACTCCCCGCTCTCAACCACCGCCAAAGTCAAGGTGAGGGCGGTTGCTCGATCGGCCGTTCCGTTGTTTGTTTGATCGGCCGTCCGTTCGTTCCATCGTTTATTTGCTCGTTCGTTTGTTCATTCCATCGTTCCTCCGATCGTTGGATCGGTTGTTCATTCGTTCGATTGTTCATTTTCTAATTTGCTCATATCATTGTTCATCCAATTGTGAGATCGTTTGTTCCGATGTTCATTCGTTCGATCGTTTGGTTCGCTCGTGGTCCGTGGACCCCAGGTTGGGATCCACAGGAGCTCTAGAGGGGCTCTCTGGAGCTCCTTCTAGCAGGTGCTTGAGCAGGCAGTTGCAGGGCTGCGCCTTTCCCCCCTAACCCGACCTAACCATAACCCTACCTAAGCCAAACCCTACTTAACCGTACCTGACTCTACCTAACTCTCACCCTACCTAAGCCAAACCCTACCTAACCATAACTCTACATGACCCTACCTAACCCTAACCCTACCGCTGGCGTTTGCCCATTCGCCGCTCATTGCAGAGGTTCGCGGTTCCAACCCGGCAAACCGCCCCGGTCAATACTGCCGGCACATTAACCGTAAAACACTGTGCGCCGTCCGCTTCGAACACTCTACGGCAAAGATCCCGTGACGTCATTCGGAATTAGGAGGCCATTGCGTGCCGACATTATGGTCCACATTTTTACCACGTTCTAAAAATTACTCGCAACGTACCTCACTGGGGTTTACCCATAGCAATCATTGCCCTCTACTGGCAGACTAATGGGCAATCTCAATGCAGGCCTGAGTTGCCTTGTGCCACGCAGGGACAGCTGCCGCTGGGGGCAGAGAAATGGAGACGGTGCTCATCTCCCATTTATGGCCTTGAACCAGCGGGTGGAAATTCCATGTTCATATGGCGGGAGTGAGAGTATGTTCCTTAGCAAAACCACGGTTGACTTCCCCACAAAACTGTAGATATTGTTTCGACCCCGGAGGGATAATGATGGGCCGGCCAGGTCAACTCCCAACCAGGTGAGTCAGTTTAACATGTAGGCTTTCATGACCAATATTATCCAACATTGTTGGAGAGGAAAAAGATTATAAATGTAAATCCACAACATTACCAATGTAAACCCACAACATTACAAATGTTGTGGGTTTACTCTCCAACACACCGGCATGTTCAAGCAGTCACTAATTGCCACGTTTTGTTGACGTGACAACCCTTACTAATTGGCTGTGTCGGGTGGTGGTGAGTTTAACGACACGTATTTTCACGATATAACCCAACCTTTTATTTATTGTCCCCAACCAGGCATTAAACTCGGAACCTTCCATCTGCGAGCCGCTTTCTCTTACCGTTGAGCTTTCGTGGCTGGTTGTGGCACAAGTCGGGTTAGGACCAGTTTGAAGTGGGGGGGCCTGGAGCCGGGCCCCCCCCCCCCCCCATGTTAGAAGAGCGCTATTATTATTATAATACTCCCAGTGTCATTGAGTGGCCGCGCTGTCTGCGCTGCACGCAGCCCAAGCGGCTGGTGTTCGCGGCGCTGGGGGGCGGGCGGCGCCGCAAGGGGGGGTGCTCGGGCGGTGGGGGGGGCTCGACTGGGATCCCGGAAGACCCGGAGGAGCTGCTGTGTCCCCTGGAGCTGGGCCGGGCCGACGGAGACCCGGAGCGGAGCGGCAGCCCGGATCCGGACTCCCGCGACGGCCTCGCACAGCCCTGCCTGCCCCGGGTAACTAATATAGTACATACATAGAAACGGGAAAATTAATCGCGAGCACGCACGGGATTCTGTGCCGATTCCCCAGCATGCGTTTCTCCTCGGCATTATCTCATTAGATAATAATAGTCATAGCCTTACATACAATCGGGATAACGCGCAAAGCTCCTGTACAGACAGATTCAACAATCCGTTGTGGTGCTGTCATGTCCTCGTTGCCGAACCAACACGAGCCCACAACACCGAGTATTCCCCTATGCAGTCTCCCCTACCGAGTACTAACCAGACCCTGCTTTCGCTTACACGATGGCACGAGGTTGGGTACGTCCAGTGTCATTTGTTTGTTGGATTAGTCGGTGTGTGTGTGTGTGTGGCCTTCAAGCAGGGCTGCTGCCCAAACTAAAAAGTGACTTAGGACTGATTGATATTCCCGCCATTGTTATAGTGCAAGGCTGTCACCGCGAAGGCAGGCGCTGCTGTGCTGGCCAGGCGGGTCTCGTCGCCGGTGGTTTCACAGGAGGGAGGGGGCCGACGTTGCTGCGTGGTTTTACCAAATTCGGTATTTTGCGGTGACATTTTTCAAAATTGGCAAATCTGGACCGCGACACGGGCACGCATCCACGGCCCACTCTGCTTCAAACAGCGGTATCCAATCCCCGGACTGACAACAGGGCAGCAGCAGCCCACGGGGCAAGTGCCCCGTGGGCCGGTCCATTCCGAGAGCCGGTGGGCCGGTCTGTGTAGGCAAATTGAAAATGTGATGAAAGCAAAATGTAAAACATTTATTCAAATATTTTATTAGCTCTAATGTGTACACTTCATTGCTTATTTATGCCCTTAGTTGGCATTAAGTCCTCATGTATTCGGCAGCCCCAAAGATTCTTCCTCACCGGCCCATTTGTGTTTTTGGACCCAGCTCCAAATGGGCCGATGAGATCGCACGGATCACGCGAATGCGTCGTCACATCGCAACATCCAGCTACACGTACTATACCGTTTATGAAAAAAACAAGAATAGCTTTTACCCTTTCTGGCAATAAAACAGGTGTCAAGATGTTCAAACACCAGATAGAAACATTTTGCAAGGAACCACACGTACTTGTGAACATTCAAACAAAAAATGCTCTAATAATTATACGCAATGTCTTTTAAACTGATTGGTCTACACCAGAGACAGCCTTCTTTAGGGCCAAGTCTCACCAGTGTCAGACCAGATAATTATTCTTGTTTTTTTAATATTTTGATACTTGCAAAAAAGGTCCCCTACTATACAATTTGTCGCACAACTCATTTTAACAAAAATGCCCATCGCCCGAAAATTGGGCCGGGGTGCTAACAAATGCCTGGGTCGATTTTTAGCCCCAGTCCATCACTGGCGGTATCCTGAGCGTTCACCACAAAGCAGATGGCGCACATTCGTGGTTAGTGAACCCGCGGTGTTAACCAGGGCGGGCGCTGTATTCCGCACCGCACCCCTCTGTGACGAGCGAACGCGCGGCCGTTCTATGACATCACCGCTTTATGACATCACCGCTCTGTGACATCACCGCTCTATGACATCACCGCGCCACGACATCACCGCTCTATGACATCACCGCTCTATGACATCACCGCTTTATGACATCACCGCTCTATGACATCACCGCGCCACGACATCACCGCTCTATGACATCACCGCTTTATGACATCACCGCTCTACGACATCACTGCGCCACGACATCACCGCTCTATGACATCACCGCTCTATGACATCACCGCTCTATGACATCACTGCGCCAGGACATCACCGCTCTACGACATCACTGCTCTATGACATCACCGCTCTATGACATCACCGCTCATGACATCACCGCTCTATGACATCATCGCTCTATGACATCACTGCGCCACGACATCACCGCTCTACGACATCACCGCTCTATGACATCACCGCTCATGACATCACCGCTCTATGACATCACCGCTCTATGACATCACCACTCATGACATCACCGCTCTATGACATCACCGCTCTATGACATCACCACGCCACGACATCACCGCTCTATGACATCACCGCTCTATGACATCACCGCTCATGACATCACCGCGCCACGACATCACCGCTCTATGACATCACCGCTCATGACATCACCGCTCTATGACATCACCGCTCTATGACATCACCACGCCACGACATCACCGCTCTATGACATCACCGCTCTATGATATCACCGCTCTATGACATCACCGCTCATGACATCACCGCTCTATGACATCACCGCTCTATGACATCAGCACGCCACGACATCCCCGCCCCACAAACGGCTAAACCCAGCGGAGGGTCGGCAACAGAAATAACAAGTGGAGCCGTTTTCTTCGAATTGAGTGAAAAAAAAACCCTAAATAAATGGAGAGCCCCAATGCACGTGAATACGCTACTTGACGAGTAACGTTAAACCACTTTTTTTTACCACTTTTTTTAAAGAAAAGCACACGGCACAATGATTTGTAATGCGGCATTACAAGTCGTCGTTGGGCTTTTGGACGTTCGCCGCTCACATAAAATAATTGGCAGGGTTTTTTGTTTTAGTACTTTGCAATTATAGTACCGGGAGCCAGGAAGCGGCCCTTTTTAAAGAGCCGCACGTGGCGACGGAGCTGCAGGTTGTCGACCCCGTGGGCTACACCCAGCCGAGAGGCGTGCAACGAGTGCGGTCTGCGAGCAGTCACTCGCACACCGTCACACAACAGCTCACCGCGCAGTCAAAACTCCTTAAACTCATAATGTTGTGAAATTAAATGAAGCTGAACACGTTTAATTTAATTTGGTTTCACACGCGAAATCATTAAGCTGATGAATTGTATTTATCACGATGCATGCTCTGAAGTGACGTGATGTGGGGGTGAGTGGTGGGTGGGGCCTAGCTGGGTGAATGACTGCAGCCTCAGACCCACATGCTTGTTCTTTACATCTCTCTGTATATGTTCTATTTCTCACATCTACAATCATTGCATATTGCTACTCTCTCTTAAATGCCAAATAAAGCTCCTGTGTGTCACTTTGGAATAGATCTCCGATATCTCTCCTCTTCTGACTCCGTCTCTGCTGAATACATCTCTGAGCTGTTCTACCTATTTAGGACGCACCTCCGACCACGTTTCTCACATCTTTGCTGAACACATCTCTGCCCTACCCCCCGATAGGTGAATGTGTCGGAAGGGACTGTCAGGCAGATAGGCGCCTTCTCGCAGGAGCTGATCAACCTCACCGTGAGTGACTGCACGTGTGACCCCCCCTGATGTTTCCAACTGCGAGTCCGACTATTAGTCATCATCATCATCATCACCGTCGTCATCACCATCAGCCATGAAGACCTCCCGCCCAAGCCGTCGCCATCCCTCACACAGTCCCGCAATGTATCGATCCACTGAGCACCCTCACACTGGCCGAGTTTCATCGCTCTATTTCCACAGCGGACGTCCTCTCGGGCGCGATCCCTCCTTCGGCCGTTCGTCTCAACCACCGGCCGCTGTCCAATCTGACCTTCACGCGTCCAGTCCAAGCCCCTTCACCGGTCTCACCAGTCAATGTGATGTCCAGGCCTGGACTGGCCATAGGGCAGCAGTCCATGGGGCAAATGCCCGGTGGGACGGTCCATTCCGAGGGCCGGAGGGCCGTTCTGTGTGGGGAAATTGAAAATGTGATCATAGTAAAAAAAAATTCTATTAAAATATTTTATTACCTCCAACATCTATGCTTAATTGCTTAATTAATTATTTAGGCTCCCAGTTGGCACGAAGTTCAAAGATTCTTCTTCACCAGCCCATTTGCGTTTTTGGACCCAGCCCCAAATGTGCCAATAAAATCGCATGGCATTTTGGGCCGCTGTGTCTTTACAAATGCCGGGGCTCATTTTTCTTTCCCAGTCCATCACAATGATGTCCTCAACCGGCGTGCGTTCTCTAACTCACACGTGTTGTCTGTCGCTTGATTTAATTCCAAGCAAGTGCCACCTCTTCATGCTTCTCTGCACACTTTGCTCTTTTTATTCAACACTGTAAACGTGTCCCGTCTCCTTTCCTGAACTGACAGCGGGCACTGTGCAAACATGTGGGTGCTACGATCAGCCCTTTAACAATAATTGTATGTGACCCGTGTCGGAGAGAGTCGCGTAAACATTGCCAAGGCATTGAGACAATGATCTGGTTAGTCCCGTGCAATACGTTTCCTTCCACGTGTTGCCACCAGATGGCAGATCTTCGAAGCTAAGCAGGGTGGAGCTTGGATAGTGCTTGCATCGGATGACCACCATGCACAACTGGTTGTTAGAGGCTGCATGGCGTCCTTATAGGCAACAGAGGGCAGAATAGAAAAACATCTGTTGTTGCACTTCCACGTCTATGCTGCTCACCTTCAACTCGCAATAACCGGTGCGGTGAAATATGGTCAAATAACCCCCACGGCCCACATGCCTTGGGGAGGCCCTCATCCAGCACCTGATTGACAGGGTACACACAAGAGCGCCGCCGTCACGGATCTTTTAGAGCAAGTTTTAACATTGACGCCACGACTCAAGTTCCCCATGGAGAAGGCGTGGTCAGTCGTCGGAGATGCCTCTCACCTCGTCATAACCTGTGTGGATGAATGTACGAATGAAAAGAATGAAACGTTTCCCCGAGTTTTCCAGATGTGTTCCACCGACTGATACCTCGGACCGATTCACAAACTTGTTGTTCACAATGTGTTGCTTTTCTCACATTTATCCCGAGTCTTCTTTACCGAGTCATTCTAACGGTTCCTTGTGATTTCTTCCCATAGGACACTGTAATGATGAGGATGATGATTGTCGCTGTGTAGCAGCTGATGCTCACGTCGTGACCTCACCGCTCCACACAGAGTCTCCTGGCGGAGGACGGGGCCTCCACGAGGCCCGGTCGGGCAAGGCCTGGGAGCGGTCGCTCGAGCTGGGACCCCCCTCACAAGTGACGTCCAGGACGGGCCCCCCACCACCAACCTCGCCCACGCGGCCACTCGTCCGCTCACCCACTCGCCCGCTCGCCCGCTCGCCCGCCCGCCTGATCGCCTGCCTGCCCGATCACCCGCCCGCTCGCTGGGTGAGACAGCTGCTGCTGATCGCTGCTGCGGGCAAAGACTTCTTAAGACGTCAAGATCGACTCAAAGCCCGAGAAGCCCAAATGACAATACCTTGAGAAAGATCGGCCCAAATCCGGGCCGCCAGGTACGCGCGGTTTTCCGGCGTGGAGCGTAAAAGATTAGTAGCGGAAAAAAAACTTCGCGTGTACGCAACGGTCGATTCGTCGGTCGAAAATCAAAATCAACTCTCGACGTTCGTGCCACACGCTCCACCGAATCGCTCGTGTTTTATTCTCGGTTCGCAATGCGCTCTCACCTGTTATGCCCCCTCCCCTACACAGCCCCCCAACCAGCCATTGAAGGCTGATGGGGAATTAAACGGCGAACCTCAAGCAATGACAATTCATGGAATCACAAAGTTGTGGGTGGGAGTGGGGTACGAATCGTGAACCTGTCGCTCTGTGCCGGCAGTCTTGTCCGGGACACGCGCGGTGAGAGGTAAATTATTGCGAGAACGCTGTAACACCTATTTATGTTGTGTAGACGTCCGTTGTGTCTGTGTTTGTCATTTCATAAATCACTATCCACCAGTCAACCGCGCGACTCGGCGTTAGGGGTTGCGAGATCCAATCCTGGCTGCGGGGTTGACTCATCCCACATCATCCCTCCGCGGTCGGTAAAATGAGCACCACTCTGTGGGGAAGATCAACGATGGTTTGCCTGACGTTCAAGACTCACCCCCCGCCACAGGCGTGTGGACTTTCCACCGCTGGCTCAGGGGCCTGTAAAGCAGGGGATGGGCACCAACGCCGCGATGCTCACACGAGCAGGAAATCGCTTGGAGCTTTATTTATTTTTTGCGAGAGATTACTTCAGGTGACTTGCACGTGGACTTCCAGGGTAAACGGCCGTCGTGTAGGCCGCTCGACTTACAAAGAATTCGGTGCAAAAGTGACCCCGGTGGGTTTAACGGATTCCCAGCGCACCTTGGGGGGGTTGGCTTATCGCGCGAAGCCTACAAGATGAAAGTGGATTACCTTGAGCTACCAACGATCACAAGCACGATGACAACGATATCACGGCATGTTAAACAAAAAAACAAAAAATCCCCCATGTAGCCTTAATAGACTGTTGGGGCAAGTGCTGTTAGTGAGCACCTAATTAAGGCCGGCACGGCACACGAGGGGGTGTGGGGTGGCCAGCACCACGTCTGGCCGCCTTTGTCTTCCCAGTGGGGATGTTTACACACCACACCAGGTACTCATTTGAGGCCGAGTCGACCTAGGGGATGCCCAGGACCGGTTCAGATACTCATTACCGATATTGGCCGTTAGTGGGAATCGAACTCGGGATGCCGGGTTTGTAGCGCAATGCGCTAACCACTACACTACCGCACCCCGCATGTTAAAAACACACGCACATGCACACGCACACACACACGCACGCGCACGCGCGCACACGCACACACACACGCGCGCACACGCACACACACACACGCGCACATACACGCAGACGCACACGCACACACTGGCGCACATACACGCAGACACACACGCACACACACACGCGCGCACATACACGCAGACACACACGCACATGCGCACATACACGCAGACACACACGCACACACACACACACGCGCACATACACGCACACACGCACATACACGCACACACACACGTAACGTGACACGCATTGCGCCATCGGACTCGCATCGCGCGTGCCATTGCGATTTTTTTCATTTCACGCGAAACCAAAGAAGTTCTCGTCAACGATCGCTTGCTTTGGAAAGTTGGCGATTGTTGGAAATGTCTGCCCGAAGTTGAAGCTGTCGACAAGCAAAACAATGTCCGTCTTTGTGCGGAGCCTCAGGCGCTCACCGCTCTGTTGCCCCCCGTATTGCGGCGCACTCAACTTTAACACAAAATATATGCTCGTGATAATTATAATATATGTACTTAAAATTATATATTCACTTGTTGTGTGTGTGTCCCCCCCGCCCCAGACAACCGTTCAGTATTATTTTCCGAGGCGCTTTAAATTCAGTGTGTGGCTGTCGACAATAACGGTAGGGATTCGAGTTTGTGTGTTGTCCGTACGAAGTAATCGTCGCATTTTTAAGTTAACGCCGGTAACTGCATTTTAATGAACCAAAGTGTTTCCTCAAGCAAATTTTTAAATAAATTTGTAAAGAAACGTTCAGAGGGCTTTGAGGATTCTGTTTTTGTTTTGGGTCGCACCACACGCATCAGCTATGTGGCTATGTCCGTGACGGCAGAGGAGGTGGTCACGCCATCGTAACAATAATAATAATAATTTCGATTTAAAGCTTTCGTGACTGCAGGGATTCATCTTCTTGGTTCTTTCGGTAAAGTCACGTAGAAGGGAAGTAATAAAATAATAAAAATAATAAAAATATGTTTTATTTAATAAAATTATGTTTTATTTTCATTATTTTATTACTTCCCTTCTACGTGACTTTACCGAAATAATAATGTCAACTTTGGAGAGTTGCATTTTTGTTTCTTCTCAGTTTTGTTTAACAACAGCATAGAGACTCAAAGTGAGTCAAAGTAAGAGTGCCTCTTTTGTGTCCGTCAGCGTGTGGGCGACACAGCCGCATGCCTTAACCAAACAACGACCCATTTATTGGCGAAGGGGCATTGACTGCCGAGATGAACGCCGCCGACGCCGCGTCCGCACCCTTTGGCAGGAGCTGCGGACAAGAGCCGCAGCATTCAGACGACAGCCTAGGGGGGGGGGGGGGCTGGGCTGCGCGGGCTGAAGAAGAGGAAGCGGGCAGATGCCGTGCAGTGCACGCACACAAGAAGCTCGCGGCTGGCGTGCAGTGCGCTTGGAATGACTCGACGTCGAGAGGCGTAAGAAGGGGAACGCGTGGGCTGTGCCGCCTGTACGTGCGTGGAACTCATCTCGCACCGTGCGTAGCCAACCGTGCTGAGCGGAGGTGCGGGAGGGAAGGGCGGCAGAGGACAACAAACTGAGCACGAACAAGCAGTCGTAAGGAGAGATGAGTTGTGGAGAACGTCGTGCACTTCGGAGATGTCGAGTTGAGAAAAGTGCGCGGGGCTTGGGGTAGGGCGGGACACAGGTCGATGGTTGAGACTAAAGACGAAGTAGCAGTCAAAGGAGGGAACGCGCCCGAGTGGAGGACGACCGCTGTGGAAAGGAAATAAAGAAGCAGGGCTAACACCTTCCCATATCTGTCTCTCCAACATTTTTATGAACTCAAATTTAGAGACATTCATACTCGTTGGTTCTTTCGGTAAAGTCACGTAGGTATGAATGTCTCTAAATTTGAGTTCATAAAAATATGTAGAGAGACAAAGATGGGAAGGTGTTAGCCCTGCTACTTTTATACCCACGTGACTTTACCGAAAGAACCAAAGAGTATGGATTCCTGCAGTCACGAAAGCTTCAGATCAAGATTTTAGAGACGTTGTTTTGTGACACATCCCATCGGGAACACGGACTTCTTGGGAGTGATTTTGTCGTCGTTACACAAGCAAACTCTGGACCTGTTTCTGCATGCAGTGTCTCATCAGACTTTGATTAAACAAATGCTCGAGAGCCGCCAGATGTTCTCGACAAGGTTCGATATGGGCGCTAGTTCGATGCGAAGCTGTATGACACGGAGCAATAGTTACATCTCGTGTTCCGGTTGCGAGCGTGAGTTATACATCATCGGGCCATGAGAGAAACAGCTTTGGGGAGGCTCTCATCCAGCAGTGGACTGACCATGGCTGATACTAATAAAAATATTATTGGTGGTGCCGGTGCGACGTTCACTGTTTAGATTATTCCCTGGCCACTCCGTTTAATTCGCTCGTCACCACATTAGGGTCGTTAACGATAACCCGCGAAACCGGTAACCGTTTTCATAATCGATTACCGGGGGATGGGATGCCGAAAGTCAATCGGAGCCAGTGGGGGGGAGGGGGTGGCACGTGCCCCCCCAATGATCCAATAGAAATTAGGGATTTCAATCGGGTCATTGGGATGTATTAGTAATAAATCGGCATTTTGCGACCCCCACTGCCACTGCGTAGCATTTTATTATTATGTAACAGGAACTCTATGAGATGATATGACAATAGTCTGAGTCCATAATTGGCAATAAGTAACGGCAAAGCGGTTATAAGTGACTCGCAGAATTGTGCGCAGTTGCGTACACAGCACTCGACTTCCCTGAAGGCATCAACAGCTTCAGCGAGCGCGATGCCGATCACACGACGCGGTTCGAATTCGACCCTCGATCGATGGCGGCGCCATCGCCGCACACGCGTCGAATAAAAAGCAAGGGGCAAGTCCTTACTCACTAACAACTCCTCTATCATTTCTCATCGCTGGAGGGGTTGCCCCCCCCCTACCTGAAAATCCTGGCTCCGCCATTGATCCCATTGGAATGCGAGTGACGGATACAACCCCCGAGGTCCGCCGAGCCACGTGACCGGTTTTTGTTGTTGGCCTTCTATGCGGTTCGCGGTTACGACTTGAACTATTTCTGGCTCCCCAATTGTTACCCTTGTAACCTCGCTCTCACACGCGAGGTGTTCCATGTACACGCGGGGTAAAATTTAATTAAATTTGCTCCGAGTCACGGCGGAAGAGCATGCTTCTCGCGTGAGTCTCACGCGAGATTTTTGTTGTTGAGCTCTTCGGAGATAAAAAAAAAAACTCCGCGCAGCAAAGACACATTTCGGTTTAATCACGCGAAATACAATGTGTGCGGCTCTGAAATAGCGTGAGATGCGGTGAGTCACCAATTAGCAATCGCCCAGTCATCTATCCACTGCTGAATGAAGCCCTGCCCCCCCCTCCAACCCCACCCTTCTAGCCCCTCCCCACACCGCCCGACGCCGTCGGAATCCCTCCCCATGGCTGCTGCTGCTGCCAACATTCCATCGTTGCAGCGCTCCGTCTCCGCGGTGAACGTGCCTCCCGGCGCGTGTTTCCACCACTTTGTCTGCCATTCCGTCACCAGCCTCGTCCATCGGACATCCATCCCCGAAGCCGGCGATGTTGTGTCCCGCACGCGCCGAAATGCTTATTTTTCTTTCTCTGAACTGTCGATATGTCGATTAATAAACTTACCATTAAACATGTCTTATTCACCCACTCGCACTGACCAGCGTGGTGAAGTATGGCCAAACAGCTCCCATAACCGAACGACGTCACGGGATCTTTAACGTCCGCCGTGAGTGAAGCGGACGGCACGTGGTATGTTTGTTTTAGGACGAGGCGCGCCCGCAGTAATAACCAGGGCGGCCGCTCGGTTCGAAACAATGAACACAGAAACATTTTACGACGTGGTCACGTGACTGCTCCTTCCCCCAGAATGTGATGTTTATCGCATGACATGTCCTCTCCGTGCGGCAAATATGGTAACCGGTTTAATTTCATACGGTTACCGGTAAAACAGTAATGCGCAACCCGGCTATTTTAAACCTTGTCAATATTGTTGTAAGGGGCCGTCCATATTTGACGTCACGCACCAAGGGGGGGGGGGGGGGGGGGAGTCAGACTTGTGACGATGTGTGACGACGGGGGGGGGGGGGTGTTTGAGAAATGTGACGTCACATCAAAATGCGCAACTTTAAATAAATATAGACAACACGTTCTCCTTAATTAAATAGACGTTTTAATAAATGTTTTTCCTACAACATCAGAGTGCAGCGCCACAATATATACGCACTACAATGACAATAGTTTAAAGCGATTTGAAGCATGTTTTTTTTGGGGGGGGGGGGCAGAGCTTTGTGACGTCATATTTAAGGGGGGGGTTCTGTGACGCCATGTGATGAGGGGGGGGGGGTCAAAAATCGTCCAAAATCGCGTGACGTCATTAATCTCCATGGCGAGCTGGCGTGGTGTTACGGACTGCGCCCTCTGGTGGCTAACACGGGAATTCTAAACCAGCATTGGCCATCGATTAAACAAAACCGGACTGCCGATGGCACCTGACACGTCGATATCGATCCAGGGTGTTGCTCGTCTTCAATCAATTCTGCTGAAATTATAGTCACAGAAGGGCGCGCGTGCATGCAGATAGGTTTGTATGATAAATTATTGTTTATGTTGATGCGGAGAGACGTGGATGTGAAGGAGACGAGTATTAAAGTCTGCTTGTGTATTTTATTCAAATCAATGTGATGGAAGACGGGTAAAAAAGGGATGTGGTGTCTGTGAGAACAAGTTTGCCTTGCGTTGCAATCGAAACGTCGTGAGAATGCGATTGTTTATATTTTTATTATTTTATTGTTTCCCTTCTACGTGACTTTACCGAAAGAACTAAGAATATGAATCCCTGCAGTCACGAAAGCTTTAAATACATTTTTTTGTTATCCGAGCTTTGTCCTCCAACAATAACCCCGACATATCAAGAACCCATGACGCTTAGGGTCCAAATATCGGTGAAAATGTGTCCTCTCCATTTGATAGTTGAAAACTGATGTTATGCAATGTGTTCATGTTAAATATGCGATATATTCAATCAAAAAACAACCCTAACATTGATGCTCATTTGGCACATTGAAATGTGCTGTGCAATTTCACCCAAATGCGCACTTCCAAAAAATATGGCCCCAGTTGTTTCCGTACACGCAGCTCTTACAGCCAAGGCAGCGACGGCACTCAGACACGTTCACAAGCGCCTTCCGTACAGCCTTAAACACACTGCTGGGGCAAGTGCTGTTAGCGAGCACCTATTAAGCCCAGCGTGGCGCCATACACACACAACCCACGCACATTACAACTCACACGTTTGCATCTATAATCGTTGCATTGTGCATGCGCCAGCACATTTGCCTGCTGCGATATGGATCACACATGGATGCGAGAACGTAAAAGCGATTTTAAGACATCATTGTGAGTTGAGAAAAGCGAGTGGGTTCGGGCTTGGGCAGGACACGTGGTCGAGACCGACGATGATGGAGCGACGAAATCAGCCCGTGTGACGGTGCTACAGCTGCCGTCTTGTTTTATCTTCTAAATAGGAAATAAACAAGCTTTCTAATAGATGTTTAAAATGTGTAAACATTTGAAAATGAAAAAAAACACAATTTCTTTGGCTTTTAATGTTGTGAGAAACAAAAAACACACAAAGCAGTACAACTACTCCACTGGCTATTATCACAATTCAACATTACTCGCATCGCGCCCCACAACACAAGTAGCATGTATTAAAGCAACGGTTTTCAACCCGGGGGCACAGGCTGCAGCATGGATACCGTGCAGAACGAATGAAGGTCAATGGATGGGTCACTACATCCTGCACACAAGTGATTTCAGCCACGTGGAGTTCATCAGAGGAAGATTCCACACGCGATAGTTGTGTGCAGGCAGTCCCGCCATTGTGATAGAATTCCGAGCCGGTTTTAGGTTTTAACCGACGATAGTGATTGGCCGTTGGCGAGGAAAGCGAGCATCAAGGGTTGTTGCTTTTAATTGGATGTGGGCCTGAGCAGGCCACACGGTGCCAACAAGGGATGGCAGGCCAGTGGTCGAGACTAGCAGTGGAGCAGCAGCCGAAGAAGGGAAACGCCAAAGAGAACATCCACTCAGGGCGTTCGATATGCCCGAGTAACTAACGGCACGCCAATGCAGCCATGAGTGAGCGGGAAGAAGGGAGCAGTGGTGTTGATTGGGGGGGGGGGGGAATACCACCACTTAACAGGTTGAGAACTCCTCCATTAATTAAGGGGGGGGGGGGAGGGCGATTAAATCAGACAAACGCTTTTTGATGGGGAGTATATTTAGAGCGAACGGGGTTCACTTCAAATGCCAGCACGCGTGAAATACAGAAAAGTGCACCACACCCCCCTTGGCTTTTATCAACGCTCAACGTTCAGCGGAGAGCAAAGCAACATCGGGAACGACGAACAAAAACATTTAAATCGCTAACCTCGGGCGGCCAATTTAGTGCACGTTTAATTAAAAGGCACGACGGAAATGAGCGCGATCAAATTAAACACGTCAAAGACGCTCGCGTTTTACACGTAATGGCCTGCCAGGATGGTGGGGCACAGAATAAGAATATTGATAAACGGATTTTCAAAAAAATACATTTAGCGCATCTCGCACTTAACATGGGTAAACCATACACATTGAAAGCAAATATGAAACTTAAATAACGCAGAATTTTTTTGTTGTATAATATGGATATATTATTAATATGGTATAATAATCACCACTCTTTTTTTCTTTCGGTAAAGTCACGTATGTAAAAAAATATATAAAAAGAAAATATTTATTTTTATCTTTTTTATTTTCTTTACCTACGTGACATTACCGAAAGAACCAAGAGTATGGATCCTTGCAGTCACGAAAACTTCAAATCTAGAATAAAATAATAATCATTGTAGGTTGAATACATTTATCCGTTTTGTTTATCAAGTCCGACTTCAATCTACACACCCTCTCTTCAGCTCGGAGAAACAATCACCTTGGTCGAATGCTGGACGGATGAACTTAAAACTGTACGGTTTCTTTGCATGTTATTACTTGACCTAGTTAGGCGTGTAACAATGCATCGATGGATGAATATAAATACTTTGCACATAACGACACGTGCAATAGATTGCGTGTACAAGAATCGTGATATTACAATATTACCAGATGTCGATCGGTTCATGTAATTCTCTACAGGCACTAGAGGCGCTAGACACACTGCAGTGGCAACAACAAAAATCAATCATGGTATTGAATTTTGAACCCCACCCCTCCAATCACGGCAATCCATTGAATGCCGATGGGGACAGAGTGTTACATGCCTACTAACAAGGGAGCCAAAGCAATATCCGACGGCAGTTTCCGATTACCATGCAAATCGGGCACATCGGACAAAGCCGCACCGGCTTCACCCCGTCTTGATTGAGGTCCGAGCGTTCCGTGTGGGCGTGACAAGCGGGTGACGCTCGCCAGCTCGACGGTAGCGCTGGTCACCCTCAGCTTGGCATTGGAGTAAACCGCATTTACGTAAACAAAACTTTGGCCTAAAAGTAGATTCAAAACAATACGCTATTATCAGAGCCTGCAAGCTGGCAGGCTGCAGCTCGGAAGCCGATGGACTTTTCTGGGCTACCGTCTTATGCAAGCAATGGGACACATTCAACCACCCGCTTGAGTAATGGTTCCTATATAATCTTATTTTGCGTTCTGTTCTAATAAAAAAAACGAAAATCCCAGTCACGGTGCACGCGTGAAGGAGGCCATCTCGTCCCAATTTTTTTGCACGGCAATTTGCTACGTCGCGTCGCTGTGGGACCACCCAAGAAAAATTGGTGGATCGCCATATACACTGCGCTCAAGTGGTTCGTCGGTACGTCCATCTCTTAAGGCTCGAGGATTGTGTTAATTGCCGGCAGCTCTTTGAAAAGCACGGCAGCTGCTGATATAATGAGTGCAGGAAGCATGCAAAACACGCCGACCGTTCCGTCGGTCCTCAGGCTCGCGCAGTGCGTGCGGCTTTTGGCGCGTTGCGAGGGAGGCGCGGTGGGCTGGTGACCAAGTTTCAAAGGCCGACTGTGACGTGGCTCTTAGCTTCATCTCACAACTAAAGAAAACAAACCCCGGGAGGCAATCCACCAGGAATACAAAAACCATCTGGTCAAAGTTCCTGGCAGCAAGAGCTTTCCTTTATGAAGTTAACTTTAATGAAACAAAAATTAAGTTCAATTTGAATTGCACCCTTAACATAATCAAATATCAGAAGAGTTTTTTTTTTAATCCTCAGTGATCCCGCAATGGCAGCTTGTCCCTGTGCAGCACAACAGGGGAACATAGGACTGGCCTGAGTGTGTGCATTTGTCAACCAGTTTTGGGGCAATTGGTCGTGGCAATTAATCGATTTCATGTCTCCAAATTTGGAACACGGCCCTGCTGTTTTAGGTGCGACACTGAGCAACCACGATGAGGATTTCTTTCATCTTCTTGGTTCTTTCGGTAAAGTCATGTAGAAGGGAAATAATAAAATAAAACATAATAAAATACAATACTCACGACGTTTCGGCCACAACGCAAGCAGCCGTCCCCTCAGGTGAAGAACAGGGCTGTCGAAAAGACAGCGTCTTCACCTGAGGACGGCTGCTTGCGTTGTGGCCGAAACGTCGTGAGAATTGTATTTTATTATGTTTTATTTTTATAATTTTATTATTTCCCTTCTACGTGACTTTACCGAAAGAACCAAGAAGATGAATCCCTGCAGTCACGAAAGCTTTAAATCGTGGATTTCTTTCATCGGCGTAAAAACAAGCACCATTTTTTTTTGGTTTCACTCACTTTTCACAGCTACCTATGAAAACTGCTCGAGCAGCGTTAATACGGCGGTGCCATCCATGGCTGGTTGAGCGCAGGCGCAGGCCCTCAGTAGGAGAAGCGCATGGCCTGCGTGTACTCGAGCTTGTCGAGGTTCGGGTAGCAGGCAAACTGGATCATCGGAGGAGGGCCGCACATGAGGATGAGGACATCATCCGCCGGAGGGGGAAGGTGGTCGCGGATCATCTCGGCTGTCACAAAACCCTTGCCGAAATCCCAGTCTGTCGGGAAGAATCAAACAGAGGTGCCTGAATGAACAGCGGGATCTAAACACAAGTGCTCACGTACAGGTCCTCGCAGCCAAGCGATCACAGTTCAATCATCCCATGCGAGGAGAAAGAACTGTGACATTAATGGAGCAATAATATAAAACACAAATGTTGTGGTAATCCGTTACTTTTGAACATTATATTGAGGGCCTTGGGCCTCCACAATTACCCCAGGCAAGCGAAGATCCATTGATTTGCCGATAAAAATCGATTCTGGAGCCAAACACACGTGCATCGAACTGTACACATTTACATTATTTACTTATATATAAATGCTAAATTCAGGGTGAGAGAATGAGACTAAACATGAGACAAGCAGTACAAAGTGGATGGTGCATACGAGACAAGAAAGAATAGATTCATTGAATTAAATCGTGATCCTGTATCGTGGAAATTCATCGACTTTCAGGTGGGAAGAGGGGAGGGGCGAGGATGGATTGGTGGATTCATCCCAAGCAGCACACCCCGACGTACCTTCCGTGGCGGTGTCGAGCGTGAACCACAGATTGAACTTGTTGGGGTGACGTGCCTGGATCTCCTCCAGCTCATCACGAAGCAGGATGTCCTTCTCCGTCTGAGAAGAGAGATGGCGAGATGTTAATTCCCTCGCCCGGTATACAAGAGGTTGTGGGGTCGATCCTGACCCTGACGCCCGTTGTATATTTGGAGTTTGCATGTTCTCCCCGTGGACGCGTGGATTATTTCTGGGCGCTGTTTTTTCCCATCACATTTAGAAACATGAGTTTAAGAGTATTTGGCTGCTATAGATTTCCACACTATAAGCCAATTCGTTGAGCTATCATTTGTAGCCAGGTTGCTTCTGAAAAAGAGCTACATAGCTCAGTGGGCCTTACCTCGAAAAATAAAGTTTAGTTTAAAAGAGGTAGAGTGTCAGGTGGGGTGGATGGGCAGGCATGGCAAGCGGGTGGCCGGACGGGCGTTAAGGGGCAAGTAGGTAAAAGACGATCCCAAAAAATATATACAACGCCGGCATATCGGTCAAAACAACTGCGTGTTGTTTGCTCGTGCAGTTTTATAAAAGAAAAAAATGGCACAATAAAAAACACATTTTAAAAATACAGCCCAAGATGTTCATCATTTATGTGTCACTTGCTCGCGGCGAGAGCGAGCGTCGTCAGGAGCGAGACGGAGCACGCTCGTTGGTCACAGCGCGAGCGGGTTGGACTGCTGCCACGAGCACAGCTTTCCCCCCTTCAGGAGGCGAGGAAGCTCAAACACTACATGTGGTTTTGGTTTTGTTTTTTTGGTGCTAAATGTCACTTTCCAGCCAGTTTGTCACACTTGTCACAAGTTGCCAGCGGTCACGGCCGTGAGAAGATGTACTCCCGCGGCACGACACGCAAGACGTTTCCAAAAAACAGCAGCGCGGCTGCTGACAAGCTTGAAATGTCGCCCTCTTCCACGTAGATTTTTTATTGTTTCGTTTGTATGGGTGCCTTTTTTGTGTGTTGCCCAATTTATTTTTCACATTCACCATGATTGCTGATTTGTTTTAATAACTGCAAAAACATGAGCGGATATATATATCAGTCCCGAGTACGAGCTGGCAAAACAACAGCCATAAACCGCAGAAAAAATATTCACAGCTTAAGATGTATAATCATGTTTTCACAGTACAATTAAAATGTGAAATGTTCGTGAGGTTTAACGATTTCTTAAAAAGTGTCAGGATTATATGGTACAGAATCTCTGGCCAATGTTCATCAACGCATTGTCACGATGACTGCCAACAAAGGCAGAAACGAGGCATCGATTTCCAATTGAAAAAAATTATTATGCTCAACGTACATGCATGAAATCAAGCATGCTAGGGACAATTAATTTGTATTTGTATGCTGCAATTACTTTATGGGGCCCCTACAGCCACAAGAGGCACTAAACAAGGAATTTTTTTTACGAATCACAACCCCACATTTCAACAATACATTGACTTACGATGGGAGGGGGGTGAATAATTGACATACCAACTGGGAACCAATACAAAACTAGATTATAATAAAAGCTAAAACATTCCCCCGTCTGCCTGTACCTGGTTAGCGAAGATCAGCGAGCAAGTGGTGTGGTCGTCAGAAGACTTCATCACCTGTCGAACAAGCTGCAGCATCGGGGTGATCCCTGCTCAATGTAAAAAAAAACAACGGACGACATCGCCAAAGCCTCAAGCGAATTCAAATGAACCCGTGTTGTAGCAACTGCCTCTCTCGGAAAATACGCAAGGCAAAAGGCCAAGGAGCAGCCCTGCCATTTCTTTCTCATGCACTGAAGGGGACCCCCGCCCCACCCTTTGAATTAGTAGAGAGAACTCTAGAGCGGCGGCCCTCTATAATGGTATTTGGCCTCCTCTTCCATCTTAAAAAACTATGGAAGTACCCACACTGTACCTCACCACATGCAACCCGCTGATCGACTGGTGTAACCCATTATACTGCTGCTGGATGTACAGAGGCCATGCCGCATGGCAAGTCCGTGGCAGCAGCATCCCCTTAGCAACACGTAAAAGGAAAACATTAAAATAACCTGCAATAAATTAAGTTCTGCATCAAGTTTGTGTAATTATTTATAATAGGTTTTTTTCTTCTTCTTCCGAAGGCAAACATTCATTATGCAAACATGGCATTTAGACGCGATGTGACAGACAGCAGCTCGACTGACCTGTGCCACCGGCAATCATCCCAACCTTGGTAACCTTTTTAATTTTAGGCTCCGACTTCTTGTCCGGACGGATGGCAAATTCACCTTGACAGGAGACCAAGAGACCAACGAAAATATTAAAAAAAGATATAACGATATAAGGCAATGGAGATGGAGTTCAAAGGCGATATATTTTAAAAATATATATTCTTAAACAGATTTTTCTTGAAAAAGAAACTCAAATAAAAAGGCATGAAATCAAATTCATAAATGACAACATATTATTGACATTAAATTACTATGTAATGAGACACGCGCATTAAAATATAATGATGTTCCGATTAAAAATAAATACATGGATATGGGATGACCCCAAAGGGCCTTTAGTGGCGCGTTACTGACATCTTTGTGAAACGTGACACGTCTGTGCAAAGTTATTTTTAGCCATCTGATGCTGCCCATCAAGCAGGATAGAGCATCCGCTATCTTGTGGCTTGTGCCAGTGAAGTGCGGTTAGAACTACCCTGGCGCCATGTGCGACGCTCGTTATTGCCGTGGTCTCAACTAATTTACACAACGGCTCAAAGTAAATGTGCGCAATGTTTTATCATGTGTGGGAGTGAGACGGAACATGCTGGCGTTTATGTATCTATAACTTCTTTCACAACGTACATAGCCAGCATTGCTAATTAGAGGTGCGGGGGGAAGGACAACAAACTAAACACACAAAGCAGTTAGAAAGAAACGAGTTTTCTATTTTAGATTTTAAAGCGCATAGCTCCAGTGGCATGAGCGTATATCGTGTTCGTTTTTAAATAACTATAATCATGACAACAATTCATAGAGCGTGGAGAGTCACATTTTAAAATACAACACATCAAAAGAAACAGATCTCTCACTGGGCAGTGCAACCCTTCGTGTTCAAGAACGGCACGCGGAAGCGGATATCGCAGAACTTATTTTAAGATCCTTTTAAGTAAGTTCTGGTGTACACAGTAGGGGGCAGCACTTTGCCATCCAACTTGCGACAGTCAACGTCTAAGAATTTTATATGCACACAGCTGTGATTTGACCATATTAATTGGAGAAGCAAATGTAACGGGATGTTTTTTTGTGTGCAGTTATTGGAGAATGGGCTCTGACCATCAACTTGCTACACTTAATTACAACATAATCTACATGAGACAACGGTTCTTCATGCGAGTTTATGGGTCTCTTTGTAAGCCTATGGGTGGGATCTCGACATCATTGGTGACTGGGCCAAGGCCATCAAAGCAGTCCCAGTTGAGAACCCATCTGAATAAAATACAGAACCTCAGCACGTTAACCTCTGCGCTTCCATTTTTGGCAATGTACATACGTGGACACGCGTAACAATAACCAACACACGCAAGTACATTCGTTATTTGTTTGTGTGGCAACGGTGCAAAGCAGAGCGCTGCTTTACGTGGAGCCTGGCGATAGACACGTGCAGATGGTGAGCGAGACGGGCGGCGGGGCCCTTACCGATTGCCGTTATAAACCAGCAGACCGCTCGGCCCGCGGAACTCGATGGCGTCACCCAGCGGCAGGCTGTCCAAGTACTGGGACATCTTGCCTCCCTCGGGGAACTTGGGGTGAACACCCTTCAGGTACACCTACAGTACAACAAGCCACGCGCGTTTCGTAGGTTTAACGACGGGTTGTTAACGACACCCGGTAATACCGGCAAGCCGTTTTCAGAAGCGATTTGCAGTTGCTACGGTCAGGGGCCGCTTACCGTTTCCAGCACAGATTGAGTGAACATGCCGTTTTGGCACATTGTGCTAACGTACAGACGGCACGGTGGGCCAAGCGCATGTCGGCCTCGTGCTTCAGTTAAAGGGTAAAGGTGCAACTCTGAAATTGCTTTCCTTGGTCACGCCACTGCTGGCAAAAGAGCTTCCACGAAGAGGTGCATTGGTCTACTCTTCCACGCCGAGGAGACGTCTTGAAAGTGGCGTAGCCACGCTTCACCACACCACAGACTTGACCTGCTCATCGACTGCGATGTGCCCACTTGTACAGCATCACAATCTTTATTTAGACTGGAGGAAGAATCCGATGAGATATGAAGCTCTTTGTCACAGATGTGCAGTACAGCGGGGTGGACAGAGCTGCTGGTGGTGGTGGAGTTACGACACATTTATAAATAACGCGATGTAAACCCAAAAACGTTGATTATGAATAACATTGGTGGCGAAAGCCTACGTGTTAAACTGAATTTAAGACACTTTCCCCTCTTAGTTCAGCTGACACCCTGGGAGATGGCATCAAATCAGTGACCTCTGTATTACAAGTCTGGTGTGCTCACCATGACAACACTGTGACGGCTCACTTCGTTTCTCAGATATAAAAAGGCAAAACGTGCATGTTTAATGCCATAAACTTTTCTACGTGGGCGAATTGCCAAAGGGTTTTTTTCATCTGGTTACCGTTAATTCAAAAACAACATTAACAAACCCAGCTTTATGTTCTGTATAATCTGAAAAAAGTGCTACAATTAAAGAGTTGCACGGAGAAAAGTAAAAGTGTTCCGGAAAACCTTTTGCCCTCTCTTTGGAAGACAGCGTCATCTTGTTAGCTGTTTGTGTTATTTATTTATTTGTTAAAAGGTAATGATATACATCGTTTATTTATTTCTTTCAACATGGGTGCAATTATGCCTAGCTTGTGTAATGAAGCACATGCATTGGGATATACAGCGAGCAAAAGCTGGACTCTTAAAGTGGTTTGCATTTCGCTCGACCGCAGTTGAGAGATATACGCTTTGCGGTGCCCAGGATGGTTGCGAGCGGCTCGCCAATCATGAAGGTTGCGACTTCAAATCCTGACTTGGGGGGGGGGGGGGGGCAGTCGAAATAGTCCATCATCCCTTCGGGGGTCCAGAAAATGAATGCCACTTTATGGAGAAGTCAGTGGTTTTCCTCCTATGGCCAGACCAGGGGTCGGCAACCAAAACAACAAGGGCAGACATCTTTTGTCGAATTCTGTACACGAAGGTCCTCAATAAATAACATCACGAAGCAGTCCTTAAAGAGCCGCATGCGGCTCCAGAGCTACAGGTGGCCGACCCCTGCCCACGGTGAACTGGACTCCCACGGTGAACTGGACTCCCACGGTGAACTGGACTCCCACGGTGAACTGGACTCCCACGGTGAACTGGACTCCCACGGTGAACTGGACTCCCACGGTGAACTGGACTCCCACGGTCAAAGGTCAGCAATCAAAATAACAAGAAGAGCCATTCTTTTCGAATATCAAGGGCCGCACTGCCATCCTTAAAGAGACCCCCATAGGAATGTGGATTTCCTACCACTGGCTCATGGCAGTAAACAGGATACGAGCACTGCTTCGATGCTAATTTCAGCAGGAAATCAGACTTTTGACACAGGAGCACGCAAAAATAAAACCTGCAGGAGCCTACAAGCTCAAAACATTGGAGCCTGTGTGCAAAACCTGAGAAGGCTGTGTAGAATCTACACAAATCTACACAGTAGATGATTCTAAGCATTTCATCGTTTCGTCAATTCAACAATTTTTTGTATAATTTTTTGCCTTCCATACGTGTCACTTCTCTTTTCTTTCGCATCGCTTCATATAGATGTTTTTTGCGCCTTTAGCCTAAATGTAACTTCAACATACCATTTACATTTAATCGTACATTATTGATCTAACAACGCAATAGGACACATGTATTGTAAAGCCGAAGAATCAACTTCAATCAATGCAATCAATGCATCTTTCCATGTCTCACGTAAATCCAATATTGGTGTTTGCCCTCGAGTCATGTCATATTTTTTTCATTTTCAAACAGTTAGGACCTATAAATTAAATCTCAACACCCCACTTTGGCTGTAATCTTGTTAATCGAATTGGGTCACATGCCTCACTTGAAACGTGGCTTATTGGATTTTAGGATATATTTTATATATATGTATGTGGAGGCACTTTGATCAGGATGCAAGTTGTCCTTTCTAGAAATAATCATAATATTCATTAACTGCACAGCACAAATAAACATTGATTCATAAATTATTGGGTTAAGCCTCAATGATGTGGCCCAATTTGTGTTGCAAGACCATCCCACCACCCAACATACTCAAACCAAATAAAACTTCCACGTTGACAGACGTTACATTTTTCTGGCTACGTCGGGTGGCGGAGGGTCTTACAACAAAGTTTGGCCAGATCATTACGTGGCCAAAACCAAAAAATATATATATCACGAGCCATGACATTGCTTGCAAGTGCTCACAGGTTAACGCGACATTCACCTTGACGACGAGGTCAACGTAACCCTTGTTGTCGTCGCTCGTTACGGGCGTGTATGGGCGCACCACCAGGTTCCCGTCGATGGTGGCCGACAGGTAGATGTGCTGACCTGTGTGTACAACAGACAAGCAGAGACACCAGCCAGAGTGGTCTTACTCCTCCTCCTGCAAGCATCCACACGCCCGCAACCACTGGTAAAGAAACTTGGCGAGGGCTTACCGAGTTGTAGCGTTCGGAGGCAGTGAACAAACGCAACGCACACACACAAACACCTCGTCCTAGGCTCTAAATCTGAATACATACGCAAGGGCACTGTAACGCTTTCCTACACGCGTTTGTGTCCTTCCAAATTAATGAATTAGCAACGATGACGTTACGTTTCAAGCCGCACAACATGATGACGTTGCACGTGATGCGGTCTCGCGAGGAGAGGGGGGGGACGCCCGTTCATGTCAGCCAAGAGCGCCGACACCGAGGCGGGTCGCTTAATGACTGGTTTTAGTCTCCAAAATGTTGTGCAACCCTTTAAAGGGCTTTGGCCAGTGTTCAACAACGTAAATCCCTGATCATGAAGCCACTTTATACAACACCGGATAAACATATGTTGGTGCACCCTCGCTTAATGCATTTGTGACGGACAGCGCTAATGCAATAACGCTTTTTCAATCTTAGTTTGGAGGGCATTAGCAAGTTTAAAGAAACTGTAAATCTTGATTGACAGAGAGAGTGAGAGACTTCTTGGTGGTGGTGGCGGTGAAACCACGAGTCTGCGTGCGTACCCACGGGCAGGCCCAGAATGTGCCGTGGAGTTGGCAGAGCGAAGCGGAAACGTCGTGTGTCATGGCTGATGATCTGCGGTGGATGGGGGGGGGGATGGAACATTTGACATTTACAGAAAATGCACGCGAATATCTGCACTCCAGCGCTGTTGGTTGACGGACACTTCTTGGGAACGGGAGAATATTTTTAGGCCAGCCGTCCTGCACCTCTATTAGACACTGGCTCCAGTGCTCGGCAGATTAATTTCGCTTGAGGGCGAGGGCGGTGGTTAGTTTCCATAATCGCTGTATTCGGACTGTCCCAGGCTAGACATCTACAACCCAAACCGCCTTAAAGACTAATCTCATTATATCAGGAATTCGGAACAAGCTGCCCTGGCAATGTATCCAGCGCACCCTGAATGAATAACCAATGAAGTGCCCAAATCACCTTTCACTATTCTGCAGGTACAACCAAATTAGAAATCAAAGCAGATAAGCGAAGTAACCATTGGCATGCTTTAGTCACAGTACCAATTACTGTTTTTGTGACCACCAAATTTCCATCAATTTTAAGAGCAAAAGTGCCACACACCATGCCTCCCTCGAGGCTACCAAGTGCCCAAGACAAGCGTGCAGCCAGTTTACGTCCGTTAGTTAGCTCCCCGCCAGCCACGAGCACGGTAACATCCGTGTGCACGCTTCACCTCCTTGTCAACGAGACGCAGCGGGTACTTGATGGCCGGGTCTTTGAGGAGTACAGGCGACTTGCGCTTGCGAGCGTTCCAGAGTGTGTAAGCCACCACGCCCGCGGTCGTCAGAGCGATCACCCCGAGGGCCACCACCACGCTCGTCGTCTGTGGGTGGCGGTTTGTGGGAAGCAGGAGGGGACGTTAAATGCAGGTGCATACCACCACCCCGCATACGTGGCTCAGCCGCACTGAGGTGCACGTCACAACACGTGCTTCCAGGGAATTTATGGTTACAATCACCCAAATTTGTTTGAAATGCGAAGAGCTAAAATAAATCAATCACCCAAAGCCAGCCTCTGGTAGGCAAGGGTAACTCAACTTTTCTCATAGCTTTGGGGTTCAGAAGGAGTTCAAACATTTTATAAAGCAAAAGCAAACTAAAGGCAGCTCAAACAGACCAAATATAAAAATCAACACCACACAGATAACCTCTCATACGGTTTGATGAAAAGGTCGTGAGAATCAGTCAGGTTAAATAATCCAAGGAATCCATGTCATTCCAAGCAATAAGCACCAACCGAAATCTTTACTCTTGTGGCACAATGGTAGAACGCTCGTCATTATAAACTTCACCCCTGGTGTGTATACCACCAATCAGCAAACCCTGAGGCTGTTGAAAGTCTTCAGGATGTGTGTGGAGATGAAGAGATGCCTCAACGACACACAAGGCTGATTTTTTAAAGGTGTGCAACTAAGATCATTATCAGTCGGCGATTCCACAATTTAGACGTCATTGTCAATAGTTCTAAAATCACTCACAATACACACGAGTCATTGTGATGGTTATCATCTACAGATTTAGAAAACATGGCTTATTTATGTAATAAGTCAGCAGTTTGACACACAACACAAAATGCACCAAAATAAATTTTCAAGCTAAATAAAGGCTCTGCTTTGACATTCGTCCATGCCCTGGTCCCCAACCAGACGAAAGTGCGAGGTATTCCTGTACCCGCTGGTTGGCATCCTGAACTAACAACAATATCCGCTGGAGTGTAGTGGATACGAGAAGTTTCTGTTGCAGAGTCAGCCGAGTAAGAGTGTAACAGCAGGAAGCGCCCGTCGGCGGAAAATCTGCAAACACACTGGTCCCAACAGACATCGACGAAATCAAATTCAAGTCCACGCCCAGACCACAAGGAGAGCACACGCCAAAGGGCGGGGTGGGAGGACGAATTCCTTTTAAATTGAGCATCTTCCTGTTACGAGATTTGCCAAGGGGCCTGAAAGGCCACTTTGGGTGGGAACTCAAACAAGCCACAAACATCGTTCCATATCCAAAACGCCTGCAGCGAGCTCCTTTCATTCATCGTGTGACAGTCACACCTCAAGAGAGAAAAAAGGGCTGCCACCTCCACAACTACCTCCATGTATTTAGCAAACTCATGGAACAGCGGCTAAACACAACTCCGATTAGAACGGTTGGCTACGCACCATGCGAAAGAAGTTCAACACACGTACAAGTGAGTGATGGGCGATCCGATTATTTAAGTGGAAGATTATTCTCCGCTGTATTGCTTACTCGAATAATAACATGGAAATAACTGGGGGGGGGGGCGGGTCATCACAACAACGTTCCCACGTGTGTTGCTGGACGGGAGGTGATGGGCGGGGCTTGATGAACCCGCACTGCATAGTGGGCGTGCCCTGTGGGGGGGGGGGGGGTTTCCTGCCTTCGGGAGGCTTCCAATCCATCGACTCATCGTTCCAGTTATAAACATACGCATCTGTAATTAGCTCAGCCTACTCCTCTTGCAGTGTTTAGATAATTGTGCCGCTATAAAATTCACGTGATAAGCCACATTCGCTGAGCTACCATTCTTGGTCAGGTTGCTCCTGGCTTTACCTGGTAAGACAAAAAAAGTTTAATTGGTAGAATTTGAAGCGATTTGTTTACCTTTGTTGTTGGAACGTTCTGACCTGCCCCGACTGGATTTGTGAAAAAGGAGCTTTATCGCTCATCGCATTCCTCCAAAGACAAATACATATTCTGATTCTGAGATGGCTCCCCATGACACTGTACAAGCTAAATATCATCTGTCCGCACTCACGCCTGCGGGCAACTCTAAAAATACCGTAGCAAGACGTGCAGACCTTCCTTTTGAGGATAGATGCAGGAGTTTGTGAGTTGAAAAACACATTTCTTCTAAGGCACTGTCCTCGACGAATACGTCTGTTGTGCAACTGCTCTCTTACTAAACAACGTGCCATTCAATTTACGAGGGGAATCAATACCCACCGAGTATTTATTTGTTTATATATCTGCATATTTACAGAATCCACTCCGAATGCAGTAGTCGAATGTGTACATCGTCTGCCTTCGTAATGGTTAAGCTCTGCCTCTATAAAGCATGACGATATTAATGTCCTGAAGGCGAGTCTGCTCAAAAATGCGGACATTAATTCTCCTCAATGACACCAACAATTTAAATTCAACGCCGCAGTAAGTTGTTACCGTACAAGGCATTATTATTATTATCATTTCCCACCAGAACCACCATCGATACAAGCATCTCCTCACCATCATCTCCCATCACCATCATCTCCCATCACCATCACGCACCCCGTCGGCTCAGGCAACGCCTCATTGCCCCCCTGGCCCCCCAAACCATTCCGAGAGGAAAATGCGTGTACCAGAGCGCTGGGCGTGGGCGCGCCGTCATTAAACACCAAGTGGAAACACAGAAGGCACGAGAGAGACGACGCGCATTGACCGTTTGCTATAAATAAAACACAGAAAACAAAAGCAACTGTACAACAAGAACCACCACTACTACCACCACCACTACCACCACCACCAACCACACCTTCTCAAGAGGGCCCTACGTGGTCGGGCCTGACCGGCCCTGCCACCCCCACAGAGCACACGCGAAAACCCGCCCCGGGATAAAACTAAAATCAATAAAATAAAAACACATTTACGCCACAAGCCGCGTGCGTACTCGCTTTAAAATGCACACGGGGGCGGGCGATTCGTGCGTCTCGTTAAAAGTAAAATACTAAGAATGTGAAAGGTTTCTTAGGAAAAAAAACCGAGGACGGTGCGAGGCAAGGTCAAGTGAAGTTGGTGCCGAGACGCCGCAGCGATGGCGATGCGGACACCACCGAAAAGGGCCCTCAAATCGACGCCTTACCGTGCTGCTAATCATGGCTGGCGCCTGCCCTCCCTCTGCGTTACCCGTTGGGTGCCGAAATTGAATGAACAGCGGCGTTAATGGAACCAAAGAGGCTGCTAACGGCAACCCAACGGCAGCCTTCAAGCGACGACTACAACAACAAACACCAGCAGCACCACCAGCACAACACTCTCGTTACAGCTGATGATGCTGCTGCTGCGCCTCCGTTTTTATGGCGCAATTCTGGAAGATGAATTCCGCTTCCGGAAGATGGATGTTGCCTTCCGGAAGATGGAAGTTACCTTCTGGAAGATGGATGTTGCCTTCCGGAAGATGGAAGTTGCCTTCTGGAAGATGGATGTTGCCTTCCGGAAGATGGAAGTTACCTTCTGGATGCTATCTCGAAGGGAAATAATAAAATAAATAAAATAAATAAAATAAAACAAAATAAAATAAAATTCTCAAGCAGCTGCTTGTCGAAACGTCGGGGCCGAAAAGTCGTCAGAATTTTATTTTGTTATGTTTTATTTTTATTATTTTATTATTTCCCTTCTACGTGACTTTACCGAAAGAACCAACAATTTGGCTATCGTCCGAATGATGGCTGTTACCTTCCGGATGATTATACCAAGCCAGAAGACGCTTCTTATATGTTGTGCCTCTACCGGTAGTCAATGTTGCGTCTTCCAGAAGCGGCAGTCTCTACCGGAGTGACCCCGAACTGCCCAGGTGAATCACAACAGATTCACAATCTTTATACTGGTAGGAACCTCCTGGTTACACCAGCCCACAGGGGATTATTGTGTCCGTCCGTCCGTCGTGCAGGGAGGGGCTGGGTGGGGAGGGGCTGGTGGGGAGGGTGGGGAGGGACTGGGTGGGTAGGGTGGGGCTGGGAGGGGAGGTGGGGAGGGGCTGGGTGAGGAGGGGAGGGTGGGGAGGGACTGGGTGGAGAGGGTGGGGCTGGGAGGAGAGGGTGGGGAGGGTGGGGAGGGGCTGGATGGGGAGGAGAGGGTGGGGAGGGGCTGGGTGGGGAGAGGAGGGTGGGGAGGGACTGGGTGGAGAGGGTGGGGCTGGGAGGAGAGGGTGGGGAGGGGCTGGGTGGGGAGGAGAGGGTGGGGAGGGGCTGGGTGGGGGGGTGGGGAGGGGCTGGGTGGGGGGTGGGAGGGGTGGGGCTGGGTGGGGAGGGGAGGGGCTGGTCACCCCGTGGTGCCCTTATAAAACTCAACGTTTAACCTACTCACGCCGGCTTGTGCCCGCCCTCACAGACGGGCATATTTGCGGAATACACCACGCCGCCGTTGACCCTGACCATTGACCGAACAGCCCAACGTTCCTACCAGCTCCCTCCGCAGGAATGTGTTAGACTGCAGGAGAATCCGATGAGCTGTAAAGCTCTGTTTCACAGATGTTTGGAAGGGGACAGGTCATAACGTTATAATAACAAACAATCACAAAACACGATAGGAGTGAAACGTATAGGAAATAAATAACTAAAAAAATATCTACAAATAAAACTAAACTATGTTTTTATCTAACCAGGTAGGGTCCACTGAGCCATTAGTTTCTTATTCAGAAGCGACCTATCCACAAATGATAGCTCAACGAAGTGGCTTATAGTGTGGAAATCCAAAGCAGCAAAATAATGATTTTAAGCTTTCGTGACTGCAGGAATCCATACTCTTTGGTTCTTTCGGTAAAGTCAGGTGGGAAAGCATGGCCTGCTGCTGAGGCAGACTGTTTTAAAAGGTTTGAAATGGGTGTAGTCCAAGGGTCATAAAGAAGTGGCCGGGGCTAGTGATGTTAATGTGAGAAGTTAGCATGTGTACTGTGAGATAGGAGGAGAGCGGCCTTCTGGACGAGGGCACAGAAGTGGCTATATTAATGTGAGAGATTAGCATGAAATAACAGCTGACATGCTAATCTCTCACATTAACATAGCCACTTCCGTTCCCTCGTCCAGGAGGCCGCTCTCCTCCTATCTTACAGTTACATGCTAACTTCTCACATTAACATCACTAGCCCCGGCCACTTCTTTATGACCCTTGGACTACACCCATTTCAAACCTTTTAAAACAGTCTGCCTCAGTAGCAGACCATGCTTTCCCACCTGATAACGGACGCTTGTGTTGCGCCCGAAACGTCGTGATTAATTTTATTTAACATCTACGTGACTTTACCGAAAGAACCAAAGAGTACAGCAAAATAATCTAGACGCCGCCCCCTACTGGACATCTGTAACAAAGAGCTTCACAGCTCATCGGATTCCTCTTGCCGTATGAATAAATATTCTGATCGTCCCAATGCTAATAACGTCTTCCAATCTTCAGGCGGCCGTAGAAGAACAGAAAACATCCTACAAAACAACTGCGATTCTTCCAGAAGATCTTAGCTGCCGCCGTTGCCACGGTGACGAGGCCTACTCAATTACTCTTACAACAATTCGGCCCCTTAATTATAATTACGAGTAATTAGCAGAGCCCAGACACTTTGGCGGCTTATTTTGCAATTTGCAGTCCTAATGGCCGCCCTGGGCTTCTGAGGGTCACGTGAACAATTTTCATTAACTTTAAATCCGTGGCGTAGCTAATGGAGCATGCTCCAATGTACACAGTTTGTCATCTTTAATGCTAATGTATGATGCACCACTATATGGCATATTTAATACATTGCTAAGTGAGATTAAATCTCGTTGCCTGCTTGTAAAATGTTCATTCCACTTTTCACCACTTGGGAAATATGCAATTAATAACACTGCATTGCCCTGTACTTAATCCAGCAAAGACTCACTTGAGTCTCAATACTGCTTTCTTAGGATGTTCTTGCATTAGGATGTTTGGCAAATGACATTAAAGAGTAGTTTGATTTTCTTGCAGGAGTCACGGTTATTTATGTCTGAACTAGTTTGCACGTTCATTTGCTTGAAACCATCTCCTGGCCACTTCGCAACCCAGGCTTACAACACACAGAAATCTTACAGACAAACAGAGGTGTGGACTCGAGTCATGTGACTTGGACTCGAGTCAGACTCGAGTCATGAATTTGATGACTTCAGACTCGACTTGGACTTGCATAACAATGACTTTGTCCCACCTCTGCAGACAAACATAGATCCATAGTCTAACACAGAGAGCTATAGTCTCACAGAGAAACCCATGGACACACAGTCGCCCACAACACCCCACATAGAGACCAACAGAGTCACAGACACCCATAGGCAGGCTCGCACAACGCCAGGCTCAAATCTGCTTAGCTTCCAAGGTCTGACGAAATTGAGCACATTCAAGTGATTTAGACACATACTCTTTGTAACTCAGTGGGCTGGGTAGTTTCACAAATGCACTGCGTGATCCACCAACCATTGCCATAGAAGGTGATGGCACCATCCATATGCACTTTGGCACAACAGATATCCGACCACTTTTGAATATACTTAGATAATTAAATCCCACTGATCTACCACCTGTAATGAATAAGTAGAGGGTCAAGCTACAAAACGTGTGTCCATGTCTTTCACCGCCACATCCTTGAAACCAGGGAACCACAGCCCCCTTTACAGAGGCCCCTGGGACCACTAACGTCCGGCGACAGTCCCCCACTGATGAGGATCATGCGACATCTGTTGCCGATGTTTCCGCCACCCTAGTGCCTCTTCCACTGCATCACTCCACATTTCATCGGTCGCCCCGCTGCCTCTTGTTTGTCCTCTGTAATTCCACCGCACAAAATGAATTAATAATGTTGGATCGCTCCACTGGCGCTCATCCAATGCACGTCACCAAACACTGTTGTACCCTTGTGGATTTCAAAACTTAATTCGAGTTCTTATCAGCACGATCAGCATTGTGGACAGAGCCGCCTCGAGTTATGCCCAGTGCAGAGGCACCATCATTTATCGTATACAAAATCAAGATTTGGCCACAAATTCCTTCCCCTCCTCTACAACCGTCACTTGGATTAAACGAGCTCCATCTCTCGTCACAGTTTGCGGATGGCTTTTTCGGGGAAACTGATGATAAGACTCGGTTGTGCCAGAGTTACGGGTTGAAACTTGAAAGCACACGATGAGTTTCCAGCTACGGATATTAATGATGCCGAGCTAGATGTTGATGTTACTGATCGCCCTTGTAGTTCGAGTTATCTCTCGTGTGACTTCATCCCTTGAAAGCCTTGCCAAAGGCCCTCAAAACACAAAGACACAAACATGGTTTCCATCCAGGCAGCAATTACCAGAAAGCCACATTTTATCTCTCGTTTTTTTTCTTCTCTCCAAATGTTATCAAATTATGCTATCGGCGTACAAATTTAAGAGGCGAAATGTTGAGCTGGTACTCCTGCAGGTCAGTGCCGTAGTGGTAGAGAATGGCCTGCGGATGTTTTTACGTACACATGAAAGTTGAACTTCTTTCGCACCGTACCTAACAAACTATACCCTTTTTAATGCACATACCAGTGGTCGCTGCACATCCGCGCACACCCCGCGCACAGAGGGATGTCCATTGTGTGGAAGTCAAACAGTTTATTTTAAATTCTTCGAGCTGGAATGTAAGCGACACTAAGTAAAAATGCGACCATAATGCACTGCAGTGGGTTTTAAGTGGTGACAGGGCTGACACCGTCAACTCACTAAACGTTAGAGCCTATGTTCATCGCGAGTGGCAGAAACCCAGAGTTGAACCCAGGCTCTCGGTGGTTGCGGCCTCAGCATCTCTTGACAATCTGAGATACCCGACCATTTTCGGGAGTCATTTGATCTCCCTTGGTGGCACCTTCGATAAAGATGAGGGAAAAATCAAAAAGTTGGAAACTATTTCATCTACCACAATGGCCCTTGAATGTGGAATAATATTGCATTCCTTTAACATTTAGATGGATTGAAAATGATAACTTTGATTTAATGGAAAAATAATATTCGTTACTTTGTCACTGTAAATGTAAGTGCTATGCAGCTACGGCCGTGCACACGGAGGTGGAAACAAGCCGGAACACCGTGGTGCGAGTCAACATTTGAATCCGACTTCATTCCGGCATGAAAAAGTGACAAGTGTAATGATGGGTCGTCTTCGACAGGAAAAATCCGCAAGCGTCCATGCATCACGTTCTACATCTACCAACATACACGCAATTGTGTGACAAGTTTGCATGTATTCTTTGTTATTGTAACGAACTTGCTCAAACAGACAATATGAATGTGAATTTGTTCGTCATTGCAATTGGCGTT